TCCGTTGAGAAAATTTTGGAGCGACATTTATTTTAAAAGTTATAATGAAAATTATATTGGCGCAGTGTAGTGCATCAACGCTGATCTTTGTTTTTGATCATTTTTATCAATTGTTATGGTTATATAATTGAATAAAAATGTTAATTTGACAGTGTTTTGTTCATTTCGAAGTTAAAAATAATGTTTTAATTCTTAAAATCATCAAAATCGCATCTCTGTTCAATATAATTTGTTTATAATTTTTAAAATAATTGTCGCTTCAAAATTTTCTCGACGGATTTTGATTTCTTATAGTTTGAAGTGTATGTTAATATTTTTTTCAAATTTTTAAAAGGCGTAGAACATTAAAAAAATTAATTGTTTATAAAAAATTTATTAAATAATTATTAAAAAATAAACTTTTTAAAAATTTTCTAATATTCTAAACGAAAGTATATTTTATCCCCTTGATATTCCTGCTTGGTTCATTTAAATCAGTTCATTCATTTAAGAAAAATAAAATTTTGTTTAAAAAGTTGCTAATTAATATATTTATATTAACAAATTTATGTTAATATTAATTGATGTATTTTTAAACAACATTCTAGAATTTTAATGAAGACGTCATTAATTTCTACCAATAAATAATGAGAGTGCAGTAATGAATTATTTTGAAGAAAGAAGAAATAAATAAATATATATGCCCAGAGATGAACACGTATATGGTAATTCTGAGATAAAAATGAAAAAGACAACTCAATTACTTAAATATCTGCCGCACATACGTGGAGCAATATTTTATATAGAATAAAATTTGAATTCAATGGAAAATGTATATGAAAAGTATAAAAATCAGTTCTTCTAAGCGAGTTAATCGTCTAATGAAATCAAGAAACTTATTTACTGCTACTGAAAGTGCAATGTCTGCAATGCCTGCAATGATATATAAATATAAAATAATGTTTCATTGTAAATCACATAAAATGAAATTGAAGTGGCTGAAAATCAGGTGCGCACACGCTGCTGTTACTTTCATGCACGATGCGATGCGTAGGTAAGGTAGTCGTGTATGCTGTATGGGAATTGCATTCAAAGATTTCTTTGCTGAAGGTTGCATACAGGCATCAAATGTCTATTATACTATTACTATTTTCAAAGACTGACAGTTACAAATATGCAATAAATGTCAAAGTGAAGAAAAAAAAAATGAAGGAAAAACCACATAGAGGAAGAAGAAGCTTTTGTGGCCTGTGTTAGGTGAGCGCGCTCAAAAAGAAAATAAAAGGAATATTCTCTTTTTTATTGCCGACTATACGCGCGTCACATTTTGACACACAATGTTCACTCGTCAAAATATAAATATGCATTATATTTCGCTAAACACTGAAATACGTTTCACTAATATTCCATTGCTTATGAATATTCAATCGTAAAAAACATTATTTATTGTTTTTAAGGTTTCTCTTCATTTTCATTTTCCAGCAATGTTTCGTAATGAAGAAATGTACGAAATTTTTCTCTTTCTCTTCGAAATTACTTTAAGTTTCAAGAAAATATACAATATTTGTCAAAATCAAATAAATATCAAAGTTTAGTTTTCAAATCACTTTTGATTATATACTGGAAAAAAAAATCCTACTGTAGATTTGATTTTTTCATTTAATTATTATAGGTAAAAAAGATTTTATTTTCCAAAAAAGGTTTTGAACCTTTTCTGTTAAACTTTTTCTAATAATTTCTGATATTTTCTTCTTTTTTTTTTATATATAAATTATAATATTTACGAAGTAAATTTTAGAAAAAAATTAGTAAAATTATAAGTTGGGTCTTGGAAAAAATTCTCTTCAAAAATAGTAAAATTTAATATTAAAAATGGTTATTTTGTAGAATTATATAGTAAAATATACTTTGAATTTAGTAAAATTTATTCTGGAAATAATAAAATTTGTCAAAAATTCAATATAGTTTTTTCTTAGAATTAAAATTTTTTGCAAAATTCAATTATTTTCAATTTTTTTTTTTAAATTATCGTCAAGATTTCAATTATTTTTATAAATGCCAAAATTCTTCGCTGAAATTCAATTATTTTCAATTTTTTTTTAAATTATCGTCAAGATTTCAATTATTTTTATAAATGCCAAAATTCTTCGCTGAAATTCAATTATTTTCAATTTTTTTTTTAAATTATCGTCAAGATTTAAATTATTTTTATAAATGCCAAAATTTTTCGCTGAAATTCAATTATTTTCAATTTTTTTTTAAATTATCGTCAAGTTTTCAATTATCTTTATAAATGCCAAAATTCTTCGCTGAAATTCAATTATTTTCGAAAATTTTTCATAAATCTCTACAAAAAGATTCAATTATTTGAAAAAAAAAATAAAAATTTCTGAGAAATTCATTTATTTATAAAAAAAACAATTGACATATACATTTTTACGAAAAAAATCAATTATTTAAAATTTGTTTATAAAATTGAATTGTTTTGAAGAATTTTATGGAAATTCTTAAAAATAATTTAATTCTTTCGAGGAATAAAAATATAATTTTATTGACAACAATTGAATTCTTATTTCTATACAAATTTTTAATAATAATTGAAAATTCTTTTGAGTAATTTATTAAAATTATATTCAAAATAACTGAATTCATCTAAAGAATTTTATTATATATATGAAAATAATTTCAATTTCACAAAGAAGTTAATATAATTTTTAAAAAATTTAATTTTCTTTTCTAAAAATTTATTATAATTGTTATTTTCAGAATTACTTTTATCTACTATTTTCAAAAAAAATTTTTTTTACAAGAATTAGAAAAACTTACTTTAAAAATAGTAGCTAAAGTTTACACAAAAATAATTTTTAATTTAATATTAATAATTTAATGGAATAAAAAAAGGAGGAAAAGTGGACTAAGAAAAAAAATTATAATATGGTATGTATGTGGAAAGGAAGAAGAAGAAATGCAGAGCTTGTAGAGGTATAGAGAAAAAGGATAAAAAAATTTAGAAGAAGGGGAGGAAGAAGCGAAAGGAAACATAAAATGAAAAGAAAATTAACAATAATAAAAATTACAGAAAGAAAAGTTATAGCATAATAATTAGAATACAATAATTGTAGAAGAAAATCGAAAAGGAAAAAAAGAAAAAAGAAAAATATGAAAAATAGAAAATAAATAGTAAAATAGCAGTGATAATGTTTGTAGAAGATAATAATAGCATAATAATTAGAATAATTAGAATATAATTACAAGAGAAAAGTACAGATAAGAAGAGTAAGAAAAATAGAAGAAATGTAAATAAATAAAAAGTAAAATAGCAATGATAATATTTGCTTAAAAGAAAATAATTAGTATAATAATTAGAATAATTAGAATATAATAATTAAAAAAGAAGAAGAGAAGGAAAAAAATCCAGGAGGAAAAGATAAAACGGAGAAGTTAAGAAGGTGGTTAAGAAAATAATAATAAAGAAAATAGGGAATTACTTAATTAAAAAAAATTAATAATAAATTATGAATAATAATTAATACACAGTTTTTCTAGGGATATATCAAATTGAGACAAAAAAGGATTTTTGATTCGTTTTTCGACTCAGTTTGATATTCTTAGAAAAATTGTATAAATATTTTAAGAAACAGAGGATTTAATGGTATCTAACAAATAAAAAAGGCTAAATAATAATTAGTAATTAAAGAAGGCTAATTAAAAAAATTGAAAAAGGCTAATAATAATAATACAAAGAATCGGTATAAATTTAAAGTATAATTAAAAAAATTAAAGAAAACAACTAAAAAAGCGTCAACGACAAAAAAGGCTAATAATAAAATACTTATTTAATTAAAATATAAAATTTAAAGTAAATAGCAAAACAAATAAACTTGGAAAAGTAAATATAGAAGGAGTTTACACCGTAAGCCTTAAATATAAGCCTCCGCGAGCATAAACGGATATGCCTCCATGAGGATATACTTGCGTCTGCGCAAAGTGTTTGCCTGCAGCTGTGTTGTGAAAGAGTTTGCCTTGACCACGTGTTCGCGCAGGCGCAAATATATGCTCCTGGAGGTATATCCGTTTATGCGCGCGGAGGCTTATATTTAAGGCTTACGGTGTAAACTCCTTCATAGAAAACAAAAGAAAAAAAAACTAATATAATAAAATACAAAGAGTCAATAAAAATAAAAATTTAAAATAAATAAAAAACTTTATATTGAAAAACTAAAAGTAGAATCGTTGCAATGATTTTTCTTTTAAATCCCCTCATCCAAAAATAAATAATATATTTAATTAAGTTTTATAAATAAATTATATGTGTGTATATATATGAATGAAACGAATTAGAATGAGTTGAAAGGAAACATATGCACATGTCTTGAATCACGAAGGTTTCTCTAAGGTTGTTATAAAAGCAGTCAACGTTCCATAGACTGATTGCCCTAATATTTTTCTTTTTTTTTTCCTTTTACGTTGGAACGTGTATTTCTCCTTCCGACTTCCTCTTGAAGACATTTTAAGGAAATAACACAACTTAACACACGCGCGTTAAATTAAGTCTTGCGTGTCTATTTTACTGATTTCCATTATTTCAAACAAGAAGAAATATTAAAGAAGAAGTATTTCTCCTATAGTCTGTTGTCGGCAATGAAGAAATTTTTGAAAAAATATATTTCTTCAGTAGATAAATATAATATTGACTGAAGATAACATAACCGGCACTTGATAAATGGATTCTTTGTTAATTGTTACAAATGATAAAGAAGAATTTATCTCCTTCAACGTTTAAATTAATAAATTTATTTTTATTAAATTTTTTATCAAAAATTAAAATTTTTTAAATTAATTAAATTTTTTTAATTATTCTCTTAATTGCTTATAATGTTTTAATTCTAATTAACAGTCGTCGCTTTATTTTTGAACTTTTTTTGTTTAAAATTTTTAATTGCCTAATTTTTAAAATTTTCGCATTTTATTTATTTATTTATTTAACAATTTATACGGGCTTACAAAAAGAAAAACACAAAGAGAAAAAAAATTATATTTATTATAATAATAATTATTATTATTTTTATTATTATGTTGATGATTTAATCGATCCCTCCGAGTTTTTTTTCCCTCCGAGTGATAAATTAAATTAAATATAAAATTATTATAAATTATAATTAAATTTATTTATTTGTTATAGACAAATTTCTTATTTTAACTAAAGAAACTACATAAAAAACAATTTTTTTTTCTTTTTTTTTCTGGATCACTTTTAGTTATCGAAGACATTTATGGTACATTTATATTTACGTCATATACGAAATGAGAAAAAGAATATTTTTTATAAGTATTTCCAAAAGCATTTCAACCTGCTGCAGGTGCAGGTAAAACAACTCGTCCTGCAAAAAGCAAATTATTCGATTCAAGGTCCACTAAACCAAATAGGAATGGACGATTTGCTCTGAATGCTTGTAGCGAGGGAGTCATTAATGGCACTACCGAAATTGCTGAAAGAGAAATTTGTTTTTTTTTATTAATATTAATTATAAAATTATAAAAATGATGGTTAATTAATTCAAGAATTATTAATTAGTAAGAACAGAATGTTTATACGATGTTAAAAATTTGCTCATTAATTAATTAGTTCAATAATAATTAAGTCCTTAAGTATAATAATTAATTGGTTAAAAAATAATTATCTAAATTACAGACTTTGAACTCATGTACTAAAACCAACTATTTACTACTTTTTTACGATATTTTTTTTATAATTAATTATAAAGTACCCAATAGTAATTTGGGTACTTTTTTTTAGATTTCAGCCACTGAAAGCTAATATTTCTGTTTTTTTGAGAATTTCCACTACTTTAAATTCGCTAATACTATAGAAATCAAAAAACTATTCTCAAAAATTATAATCGAATTTTTTAAAACGATTCAATTATTTTCAAAAAATATTAAAAATTCAATTATTTTCAATATCTATAGTATTTTCATAAAATTTCGCAAAGCAATTCAATTATTTAAAAAACAATTGATAAAATTAATCCAAAATTCAATTATTTTGATAAATAATAAAATTTCCACAGGCATTCAATTAATTAAGAATAGCATTTTCAAAAAAATTTCGAAAAAAAACAATTATTTAACAAAATTTTTATACAATTCTTCAATATAATTTAATTAATTTCACTAATAATAACATTTTTTATGGAAATTCAATTTTTTGGAAAATAAATTTTATAATAAGTATTCTTAGCAAGAATTCAATTATTTTCAAAAATAACAAAATTTTGAACAGAAATTCAATTAAACATTTTAATAAAATTTTTCGCAATAATTCAATTATTTTGATAAATAATCAAATTCTTCTCAGTAATTCAATTATTTTTGAAAATTTTAATAAAATTCTTAGCAACTATTCAATTATTTGCATAAATAATAAAATTCATCGTAGTTTTTCAATTATTTTAAATAAAATTTTACAGGAATTGCTCAAAAAATGTAATTATTATTCTTAAAAATTTAATTTCAATTCCTTGAAAAAGTTAATTATTGAAAAAAGTGATTTTTTTAAAATTCTTTGGACGAATTCAATTGTTTACAAAAATATTAGAATTTTTCACAGGAATTCAATTATTTTCAAATATTTTTAAAAAATTGTTCGAAAGAAATTTAATTATTTTAAATACAATTTTAATTACTTATTTTTGAAATTTTACAATTATTCTTTCATAGATTTTAATAAAATTCTTCTCGAGAATTCAATTATTTACATAAATAATTCTTCGAAAGAATTCAATTATTAAAGATAAATAACAAAATTATTCCCAAAAATTCAATTATTTTGAAAGCATTTTAATAAAATTCTTTACAAAATTGAATTATTTTCATAAATCATAAAATTCATCGCAAATTTCAATTATTTTTTATTCAATTTTACAGTAATTGATCAAAAAATGTAATTATTCTTAAAAAATTAATTTTAATTCTTCGAAAAAATCAATTATTAAAAAAAAATGTTTTTTAAAATTCTTTGGAAGAATTCAATTATTTACAACAATATTAGAATTTTTCACAGGAATTCAATTATTTTAAATATAATTTTAATTAAATTTTTTTGAAATAATTTAATTATTCTTTTAGATTTTAATAAAATAAAATTCTTTCTAAGAATTCAATTATTTAAATAAATAATTCTTTGAAAGAATTCAATTATGTCGATAAATAACAAAATTATTCACAAAAATTCGGCGCGACTTCTTATCCCATATAGATGATTTACTAGAATATTTGCGAGATATTATTTTATTTCTCAAAACATCACTTTAGTATAATTTTAGCTCTAAAAAATAATTGTAAGACAGAATGATTATAGGTAAATAATGTCTTATTAAGTAATGAATCATTAATCAAATTTTAAGTAAAAATACTTTTTAAACAACATAAGTCTTAATTGAAAGAATTTTTTAGAATAAGAATAATAATTAAACAAAAATATCTTTTCAAACTAAAATAGATTTGAACGATATTTTATAGAAAAAGATTACAATTTGTAAAAAAATTTGTTAAGCAAATATTTAAAGTCTCAAATTCTTTGTTTAATAGAATATTTATGTGCCAATCTTTCAATTTTCAAAAAATCTTATTTATTGGAATATATGTTTAAATAAACTTTTATTAATACAATGTATTATTTAGAAAAAATGATATATGAAAAAATGTATAATTTAATTAACTCTTGTATGACAAAAATTTTTCTTAGGCAAATGGTAATTTTATAGAATGTTAATTAAAAAGAATATTAATTTACAAGAAATGAAAGTGAAACGAATTCTAATTTAATAGAATACTTAAATGTCTGAATTATAATTTGGCAGCATGCCAATTCGATCGATTTTATATTTGTAAGAAATTCAATTTGACATAATATCAATTTATAAGAAACACTTTTTCGTAGAATTTTAATTTATCAGAATTGTAATTTTGTAGAATATTAATATTGCCAAATCTAATTTTAGTAGAAATCTGCTTTATCAGAATGATCAAATGTTCGAATCCCCAAAATTTCTAATTTCATTTCTACCCAAAATCAATGTGACATAAATATTTGGCGCAAATTTTAAAAATTTAATTTCTGATTGGTGAATTTTTAAATTTGCGCCAAATATTTATGTCACATTGATTGTAGGTAAAAATGAAATTAGAAATTTTGAAGATTCGAACATTTGATCATTCTGATAAAGCAGATTTCTACTAAAATTAGATTTGGCAATATTAATATTCTACAAAATTACAATTCTGATAAATTAAAATTCTACGAAAAAGTGTTTCTTATAAATTGATATTATGTCAAATTGAATTTCTTACAAATATAAAATCGATCGAATTGGCATGCTGCCAAATTATAATTCAGACATTTAAGTATTCTATTAAATTAGAATTCGTTTCACTTTCATTTCTTGTAAATTAATATTCTTTTTAATTAACATTCTATAAAATTACCATTTGCCTAAGAAAAATTTTTGTCATACAAGAGTTAATTAAATTATACATTTTTTCATATATCATTTTTTCTAAATAATACATTGTATTAATAAAAGTTTATTTAAACATATATTCCAACAAATAAGATTTTTTGAAAATTGAAAGATTGGCACATAAATATTCTATTAAACAAAGAATTTGAGACTTTAAATATTTGCTTAACAAATTTTTTTACAAATTGTAATCTTTTTCTATAAAATATCGTTCAAATCTATTTTAGTTTTAAAGATATTTTTGTTTAATTATTATTCTTATTCTAAAAAATTCTTTCAATTAAGACTTATGTTGTTTAAAAAGTATTTTTACTTAAAATTTGATTAATGATTCATTACTTAATAAGACATTATTTACCTATAAGCATTCTGTCTTACAATTATTTTTTAGAGCTAAAATTATACTAAAGTGATGTTTTGAGAAATAAAATAATATCTCGCAAATATTCTAGTAAATCATCTATATGGGATAAGAAGTCGCGCCAAAAATTCAATTATTTTAAAGCATTTTAATAGAATTCTTTGCAAAATTCAATTATTTTTATAAATAACAATATTCATCGCAAGAATTCAATTATTTTTAAAACTAATAAATTTCTTTTTGGAAATTCATTTATTTTAAAAAATTTTTAATAAGATCGTTATAGCAAGAATTTAATTATTGTCAAAAATTTTTGATTGAATACTTTGTAAAATTTAATTTTTTTAAAAAACTTTTCGCAATTTAGTGATTTTCAATATCTACTATTTTCATAAAATTTCCAAAGAAAATTCAATTATTTAAAAATTTTTTGTAAAAATCTTCGTAAGAATTCAATTGTTTTTATGAATAAGAAAAATTTCTCATGAATTCAATAATTTAAATTAAAATTTGCATAAAATTATTTTTATAAATATTTAAATTCTTTTATGAATAATAAGATTCGTTGCAGGAATTTAATTTATTAGCAGGATAAGAAAAAAGTAAATATTTTTTATGAAAATTATGTACTACTTTTTTCTAATTAATTATCGAGTACGAAGTCTGAAATTATTAATTAATTAGTTAAAAAATAATTAATTAGTGAAATAATAATTAGTTGGTTGAATAAGTCATTAATTAATTACCTAAATAATATTTAATTAGTTGAATAATAATAATTAATTAGTTAAATTTTAATTATTTAATAAAATGAATTGAATAATAATCAATTAGTTAAATAATAATTAAGTAGTTAAATATTAATTAAGTAGGCAGTTAAATATTAAATAATTACTTAAATAATAATTATTTGTTTACAAATAATTAACCACTTAAACATTAATAAATTAGTTAAATAATAAATAATCGGCTTAGAAAAAATTAATAAATTAAACGACTAATTAACTAATTAATTCACACGAAATTAATAATGCAAAAAAGATTAATATATAATTATAATGAATTAAGAATTTTACCTGTAGCTGCAGCAGCAATAGTTCCACTTTCGTTGACTTCAATTTTTGCATTGTGAAGCACACTATTGACATGAGTTGCTTTCTTTGTTATTATTCGTGATAAATTCGCTTTCGCATCAAATAAGTCTCTAATGCCCAACTGAAGGAGAAAAATACGAAATTTAAATTAAAAATTCTTTTCTTTGTTATTGTATCCAAATTTTTTTTTTGTTCTTTCAAATTTTTTTTTTAAAAAGAAGATACAAAAATTAAGTGACTTACATGTTCGAGGGATGAGCGTAAATCTAATTTATTCTCGATACTAAATCTGGGAAGTTGGAGTAAAATTTCCGTTGGTAGTAAATTTTTGAATAGATTCGATATTGGAATGTAAGAGAGATCTTTCGAGAGAATTTGCAGTGCGTGCTCTCCTTGCCTGGCGGGTAGTAAAAGAAGCATTGAAATTTTTCCACCCTGAAAGAAAAATTTCTTTTAATTTTGCAAAAATAATTCTTTAAAACGAGAAAAATACTAAAGTATTTTTACTTTAGTTTATTAATCTAATAGAGCGTTATAGTAGCGTTATTTTTTTAGTGCTGACTCCCACACGCGGGATCGAAACTTTCCTAAAAATTTACTAAAGATTTATTTGCAAACTTGGAAGTATTTACTTACAATTTGCAAAGTTTAGTGAAAGTTGTGTAAAGATTTAAATGTCACACTTCAATAAATGTTTTAGCGTGAATCTTTCGCTTATAATATAGAGTAGCCGAAAATGGAATTTAAATGTTCAGAAAAGTTTCAAGCTAAATTTTCAGGAAAGTTTGACGATAAACATTTATTGAAGTGGGACATTTAATGTCACACTTCAATAAATGTTTATCGTCAAACTTTCCTGAAAATTCTTTCCTTTATTCTTTACATAATTTTCATTAAACTTTGCAAGTAAATCTTCGAATAAGTCATCGAAGTTTGCAAGTAAATCTTTAATAAATTTTTAGGAAAGTTTGACGATAAACATTTATTGAAGTGGGACATTCAAATCTTTACATAAATTTCACTAAACTTTGCAAGTAAATTCTTCGAAGTTTGCATAAGTAAATCTTTAATAAATTTTTAGGAAAGTTTCGGTGCTGTGTAAGGGAATATTGAAAGGAAAAAAATGACGGTTCATGAATTAATTTTTCTCATTTCCTGACCGTATATGGAATTTCAATGACTTCCGCATCTAACGAAGGAAGAAATCCGTAACGATATTTGCCAATGCTCTCCATCATGTGAACCTCTTGACAACCATTTTTGAAAGTTTGAAAACATCTCGGTCGAGTTTGCTTTTTATCGAACGCATGAAGCCAAGCTCCCTTGAAGTAAATTGCATTCGTTATTAATAATTGACTGGCGGAACTCAAACCTCCTGCGAACAATTTTACAACCTTTAAATTTTAAACAACATCTGTTATTTTTATACTGACCAAAATTATTTTTTAATATTTTATTTTTATTACTATCTACTATTTTATCTCTTTAATTTTATGTGAGTGTATAATTATTTACTCTAACTTTACACCACAATTTTCGTGAAAGTATCAAATTACCAAATTATAGTATCAAATACCAAAAATTTGGATCAATTTTTTATTTGATCGACATTTTTGGTATCGCAGTTATTTTAGGGAGTTTTCCATAAGGAAGGAAATTAAATGTTATACCTGGTTCGACAATTGACGATATTTGATTGTTTGTCGACAATTTGACCCAATTATTAATATTCTTAGCCGAATTCGCAGCATCTTTGAAATTGATCGAAAACACTTGACTGTTGTAATTTTTCACCAAATTCTCCTTATATTCGTTAGACATGACGACATCGTCCGCCGTCCAAAGAGCCGAGGCCATTGTGATTTCGGTATTATTTATTCCACTATTCTGCATTGCCTAAATAATTAATAAATAAATAATTAAATCGTTGAATAATTTCCCAAAAAAAGGGATTTAACTCTGTAAACAAACGTAGGAGTCATTTTCACATAACAATTAACAATAAAATGATAATTGAAAATGAAAAATGATAAAATGATAATGATAATTTTACGATTTCGAAAATTGAGAAATTTTCCTTCTTCATATTAATTAAATTTAATGAAGGAATGTATGATTGAATATAAATGAAAATGTGAAAAAATAAGGCTTACTGTAAAAGGACTGAGGGTACGTTTTACAGCTTCCTTGATACCGTAATCATCAACTGGTAGTCTTAGGGTGGACAATAGTTGTTGTCGAGTGTGCCCTCCACTTCCTTCTGCAATTGTCATTAGGGCAGCCTTTACACCCGCTGGTGCTATCACCAAATTTCCTTGAGAATTGTCACATAATTCCTGTTCAAACAAAGTTTTTATTTTCAAAAATAATACTTACTTACACAGTTAGTCACCTTTTTTATCCCCTTAAATTATTAAAATTCCCAAAAGCACCTAAAATCATAAATTTTTTCCCCCTTTCCCTAATTATTAAAATTGGCATTTTTCGTAAATTAGAAAAATTTTTAGCTGCATGATTGAAGAAAAAAATTTTTACTCTTTTGGAAAAATTTTATTATTTGTATGTTGAATTCTTGCAAAGAATTTTATTAAAATTTTTTTGAATAATTCAATTTTTTATTACAAATTTTGAAAATAATTAAATTCTTTTAAGGAAAATAATTACAATTCAATAATTGAAATTACCTAAATTCTTATATAAACAAATTTTGTCGAATTTATTAAAAATAATTTTACTTTCTTTCGAAGAATTACACAAAAAAATTTTTTTTAAATAATTAATTTCTTTTAAGGAATTCTATTAAAAATGACAAATCGAATTCTAATGATGAATTCCATTATACTTTTTGAAAATAATTGATTTCTTTTGAAAAAATTTTCTTGAGAATTGTATTTTAAATTAAATTCCTGTGGAAATTTTATTCAAGTTTTTCTTAAATAACTGAATTCTTGCAAAGAATTTTATTAAACATTTTTTTTAAATAGGATTTAATTTTTTAATAAAAGTTTTGAAAATAATTGAATTCTTTTGAGGAAAATTATTACAATTGTATTGAAATTAGATAAATTCTCTTAAACAAATTTTATAAAAATTTTATTACAAATAATTGAATTTCAGTGAAATTTTTATTATTTATGAAAATAATAATTGAACTTTTGCGAAGAATTTTATTAAAAATTTTTTTTAAACAATAGATATTGAAAATAATTGAATTTTATCAAAGAATTTATTTATTTGTAAAAAATAATTGAATTCTTGCGAAAAATTATCATAAAATATTTGAAAATGATTAAAAAAAAGTAGGTCCTAAATAAATTTTAGTTTTTTGTCCAAAAAAACAAAAAACAAAAATTTATTTTCTTGAAACTTAAAAATCTTTTTTTCAAATTTCATTATTTCCAGAATAAATTTGACTAATTTTCATTTGTCAATCAAATTTACGACAGATATTATACAATTTATTTTGGAAAAAAGGATTTTTATTGGCAAAATCTACTATTTCCAATGTTATTTTTTTTCTATAAAAATTATTCAAATTTTCCTCGAACATTACAATTAACTATACTAAAAATTATTTTTGAGTAAATTTTTCTAATTTTTATAATAAAAATTGTCTTTGAAAATAGTAAAAGTAATTCTGAAAATAACAATTATAATAAATTTTCGGATTTGAAAATTCAATTTTTTAAAAATTTTATTATTTAACTTCTTTGAGAAATTTCAATTACTTTTATAAATAATAAAATTCTTTAGATGAATTCAGTTATTTTGAATATAATTTTAATAAAATTCTTCGCAGAAATTCAATTATTCTTATAAATAATGAAATTCCAAAGAAGAATTTTCAATTATTATTAAAAATTTTTCATAAAAATAAGAATTCAATAATTGTCAATAAAATTATATTTTTATTCCTCGAAAGAATTAAATTATTTTTAAGAATTTCTATAAAATTCTTCAAAACAATTGAATTTTATAAACAAATTTTAAATAATTGATTTTTTTTGTAAAAATGTATGTCAATTGTTTTTTTTTATAAATAAATGAATTTCTCAGTAATTTTTATTTTTTTTTTCAAATAATTGAATCTTTTTGTAGAGATTTATGAAAAATTTTCGAAAATAATTGAATTTCGGCGAAGAATTTTGGCATTTATAAAGATAATTGTAATTTTGACGATATTCGTTTAAAAAAATTTAAAAAAATTGAATTTCAGCGAAGAATTTTGGCATTTATAAAAATAATTGAAATCTTGACGATAATTTAAAAAAAAATTTTGAAAATAATTGAATTTTGCAAAAAATTGTAATTCTAAGAAAAAACTATATTGAATTTTTGACAAATTTTATTATTTCCAGAATAAATTTTACTAAAGTTTTTAACAAAAAAAATATTTTGATTTTAAAAAGTTGTAGTTATGAAATTTAAATAAATAGAAATTAATTAAATAAAAAGAAGAAGAATTTTACCTGAAGTAATTCTATGTTGAAAATATTGTGACGTTCTTCCACTCCTGATACTGGTGATACTGGTCCTGAAATCATTAATTAGTTTAATTACTATCCATATTATTTTAATTAATCATTAACAAATTTATACGTATTTTTTTATTTATAAAAATTAAAAATGTTAATTTTGTTACTAAAGAATTTAATTCATCAAATCAAAATTTTAACAAACCTGTAAATCCATTTTTTTTATAGAAAAAAGCAGAAACTCAATTGACGGATTTGTTGAACATCTTTTTTTTGAAAAAACTTTTTTTTTCAATAAATATACATGTATAATTATAATCAAAATAGACCTGTGAATTGTGCCGAATTATCATATATATAACTTTATAATTATATAGTATCAAAATTTGGAAAATAAACTATAAACAAAATTTTCTTTGATTCAAATAATTATTTATTTATGTTTATTTCAAAAAACTCTTTTTCTTGAAAGAAAAATTAAACAAAGCGAAAAAAGAATAATTTCTTTATGAATAAAAATTTATTTTTTATAAAATTAAAAGTAAATTTTAATGTAAATTTCAATTTTTTCTTTTTAATTGACTTTTCGTTTTTAAAAATTATCAAATAGTCTTGAATTTCAGTGACCACTGTATAAATTTGTGAATAATAATAAATATTTCATATTTTTTCGAATAATTATTTTATTGCATAAAGAATTATTTGAATCAAATTTGTTTGTCGGTATAATGTTAATTAACTTAATATAAGTGATAATTTAAATTAATATAAAAAAACACTGAAGAAAAATTAATTTGATTGAAATAAAAATTATTTGATTCAAGTAATCGGTTATTTCAATAAATTATTATTTATTATTATATTTATTCAATAAAATGAATAATAAATAAGTAAAGTAATGTCAAATTAAATACAGTGAAAAAAAATTCATTTTTTTCACTGTATTTAATTTGACATTACTTTACTTATTTATTAATTCATTTTATTAAATAAATTAGTAAATTTTTAAAAATAGAATTATAAAAATAGAAAATGATCAACAATGTAATTTTTATACAATACCAATAGTAAAACTGATCCAAATAATTTAGCGAAATTTTTTTTTTTTATTTTAATGCGCACTAATAATTTAATGAGATGAAATCTTTAACATGTGTTCCTGGTGTATACTTGTCAGTATGAAGAGACTAATAAATAAAGTGTGGATTTCAAGGTTTTTCTTTGTACATTTTTATATATAGAAAGAATAAATTCCTTGTCTATTCAAATACGTAAAAAAATTTTTTTTTTCAAAACCAGTCACATCCTATATATATTATATTTACAAAAAAGTGAATGGAAGAAATGTGGAAACAATATTTTTGTCTCTCACTCTCTTTCTCTTTTTCCATATCATTTAATTTAATTAAAAAAACGTTCATTCTGAATATTTTAATGAGATTCAGACGTTCAGTGAACTTTTTGCGGATGCTTGATTATTTTGAATAACTGGTTGTGTCAGAGAGATCATTATCAGAAGGACATGGAAAGCCCAAAAAAAAAAAAAATAGAAAAAAAATTATGTTCTATTACAAATACGTCCATTCTATTTTATGTCATGGTGTTTCACTATTTCATTCTTATCTGATAGAAATTTTTTATTCTTTCTTTTTAATTTTATATTTAGAAATTTTTTTTTTATGTAATCAGAATTCTTTTCATTAATTATTTTCTATTTCCGTTTTTTAGTGTTGTTTTATTTTTTATGTCTATGTTTTTTCTATTTTGAGGTTTTTTTTTATAATTATTTTCTAATTGATTAATTATAATTACTTCAAAGAAAATAAAATTATTTAGAAAATTATTATTATTTTAAATAAATAAATAAATTAATTAATTATTTAGAAAATATAGCAATTTTTAATGTTACATTATGTTATTATTATGTTAATTGACTTTTGTTTATTGAATCACAACTTTCTGCAATTTATATATAGAAAACAAAATAATAATTATTCAGAAGAAATGATTATAATTGTTTATAAAATATAATAATTTTTATTACAATATTATTTGTTATTATTATGTTAATTTTCTATATTATTTATTGAATATTACAATTTTTTGCAATTTATTTGAAAAATAAAATAAATATTTAGAAATTAAAATGATTATTAGAATTTTTTTTGCAATTTATTTATAGAAAATAAAACAATTATTTATTGTTTATTGAATTACGATTCCCCCTAATTTATTAGAAAAAATAAATATTTATAATTATTTGTGAAAATAAAATGATTATATAATTATTTAGAAAATAAAATAATTGTAATTATTTAGAAAATAAAATTATTATACCTAATTATTTATAGAAACTATTACAATTATTGTTTATTTTCTATTGTCTATTGAATTACAATTCCCCGAAATTTATTTAGAAAATAAAACGATAATAATTAGTTAGAAAATTAGTTAAAAATAATTATTTTGAAAATAAAATTTATCCCAATTATTTATAGAAAATATTAAAATTTTTTATTGAACTACAATTTCCCGCAATTTATTTAGAAAAATAAAATAATTCATAATAATAATAATAAGAACACTTAAAAAGTGATAATAATTAAATAAATAAAAATTTATTAATAAATAAAATGATTATAATTTTTTGCAAAATATAATAATTGTAAATATTTAGAAAAAAATCGTAATTATTTAAACAATAACACAATCATAATTATTGTTTAGAAAATATAATTAATTAGTATAACGAATAATAATAAAATAATTGTCATTTTTATTCGATTTTTGTATAAATTAAGGGCATTTGAACCATTATGACGTCACGGCTTTAGAACAAATGCTTTGCACAAACTATGACGTCATAATGGTTCAAATGCCCTTAAAATTTATTTTTTTAAACAAAATTAAAATTAGTTAAATAAGTTAAAAAGTAAATTAATAAAATTTGTTGAAATTTAATTTTGTTAATATTAATATTTGATTATTATTATATTATTATTATTTTAATGAAATGTAATGTAAAACAAAAATTAAATGTTAAATCATAAAAATAATGAAAACAGTTAATAAATGAATGATAAACGAAAACGATTGGAAGGAACAATATTGATTTAATATGAAAAAAAAATTTTGTTATCAATTATTTTATTTTTTTATTATACTTTTTTATTTATAAACTTGTTTGTAATAATTTTTGGTCTGTTGGTAACTGTCTGTTATCACTATAGTCATTAATGGTAATATTGCGAAATATAAATATTTGCAATAACTGAATGTTTTAAATTTCTTAATTTAATAATAGTAGTAATAATAATAATTTATATTAATATTTTATCATAATATTTATAATTAATAGATAGTCTATTGTAACAATGCTATTTTATATTTAATATAATATGTAACGTCAACGCTACTTTTCTCATTTTCTTTTTTTTTGTACTGAATTTAAAATAATTGTTTCCCAAAAATTTGGAAAAAAATTTAGGGATTAGTTTAGAATTGTTTACCAGTTGGCTGCTTTGTTTCTTGATTAACCTTTGTCGGGAAGTTCGTATTTAAATTGCCAACTTCTTCCAGAGGATTCACCACTTTGCCCATGTATAGAATTGTGCCGGTTGTCTCGTCTTCAATGTAAAAAACGAATGGACGATTTGCAATGAATGTTTCTTCGCCAATTTTATTGGAAATTTGAATTTCTGTAAAAAAAATTTTGTTTTTATTATTTTTTTTTTTTTTGTTACTTAAAAAAAGAAAGAAAAATTAATTTTTTAACAAGAAAATTCTTTTTTTTTATCTAATTTTTAAACGCAAAAAAATTAATCTTTGTTTCTTTAATTTAATTTTTTAATTTAATTTTTAAACAACAAAAAGTAATTTTTTTTAAATTAATTTTTAAACAAGAAAATTATTTCTTCTACTTTTAAGTATATTGTTTAATTAAAAATTGTTAAAAATTTGTTGTTGTTTAAAAATTTAATTTTTAAACAAGAAAAAGTAATTTTTTTTTAAATTAATTTTTAAACAAGAAAATTATTTTTTCTATTTTTAATTATTGTTTTTTATTAACCTGTGGCAACATAAGCAGCGGTGCCCTTCTCGTTCACTTCGATTCCAGATTTTTGAACGATTTCCGAAACTGAAACTGATGGGGATGTTGAACTCGTACGCAATATTCCAGTTAAAGTTGCAGAATTTTCGAAAATATCTTGAATGCCCATCTATTTTAAGAAATTATTTTTTTTAAATTAACAAATAATATTAGAAAATTTATTTACAAATAAAATTAGCAAATAAATTACAAATTGAATAATAAATAAAATTACCGAATCAATTGAGAATTTATTATTAAATAAAATTACCAAATCAATTAAAAATTTATTAATAAATAAAATTACCAAATCAATTAAAAATTTATTAATAAATAAAATTACCAAATCAATTAAAAAATTATTAACAAATAAAATAAAATTGTCAAAAAAATCAAAAATTTATTAACAAATAAAATTAATAAAATTGAACTTAATTTTAAAAAGAAAATAAAAATGAAAATTAATTTCAAAATAAATTATTTTTTTTAATTATTAATATTTGTGCGGCTTTTGTGAAAATTTACCTCTTTTAGAGTTGATTCCAAATGGCTGGTGAAGTCAAATTTGAATTTTGGAATTACAACCGCCAAAGACATGTCCTGCATCAGCCAAGTTTGTTTGGTAAAAGCGTGAGAATTCAATTTCTCCACCAATGAATCCAATGAATTTGCTTTTCGTGGCAGAATAAAATACATGGCATATTTTTGACCCTGAAAAATTATTCGTAATTTTTATTAGGAACAATTTATTTTTCAAAATTTGAGAAAATTCATTACAATGGATAATTTTTTTTTCTTTTCATCAATTTATCATCAATTTTCAAAGAAGTATCATCAATTTTCACCAAATGATAATAATAATAAAGAAATTATCGTAAATTATAAAGTAAAAAATTATTTAGTATATTTTTCTCTTCAGTTTTCCTGAAAGTATCAGATTGATAACAAACTGAATCGAATTGATACAAAAAATGTGGATCAAATTGATGCCAAAAATTTGGATTAATTTTGTATTTGATCTATATTTTTGGCATCAAATTTTTGCAATTTGTTACTTTTAAGTAAACAATGATTGCGAAGAAAATGGATAAAAAAAAATAAGTTATAACATGGATGATAATTTTACTTTTATCAATTTTTCATCAATTCATCATCAATTTTCATCAATTTACATCAACTTTCATCAATCAAAATAGTTATAATAGAAAATGAAAAAATTAAAATTAAAATAAATAAACATTATAATAATAATTATATTGTTATTATAATTGTTAAATAATTTTATTTAACAATTCATCAAAAATTTCATCAATTTTTGTCCAACATTAATAATATATAATGAAAAAGAAAAACTGAAAAAATGAATTAATAAAAAAAACTAAAATATAAAATTTTTAATCATTTTCACTTGAAGAAAGTTGAAAGTAAATTGATTATTACAAGAATAATTTTATTTTCATCAATTCATCATCAATTTCGTTCAGAAATTTCATCAGTTTCCATCAATGCCTAAATAATAATAAATAGGGAGAAAAAAAGATTTAAAAGAATAAATAATTTTTAAATATTTTCACTTGAAGAAAATTAATAATTAGATATTCGTTACGTTGATAAATTTCCATTCATCAATTTTTTTATGAAATTAACAATAATAATGAAAATAATAATAAAGTGAATAAATAAATAAATAATAATAATAAAGTTAGTAAATAAATATATAATAATAGTTAATAATATTAATAAAGTGAATAAATAAATAAAGAAAATAATTATACAAATAACATTAAATTAACAATGAATAATAAAAAAATATAATATAAATAATTCACAATTAATATCACATGATGAAAGTGAATAATAAACAAATAGAATAATTGAAAATAATAATAATAATAATAAATACACTGAAATGAAAAATAATAATAATTTAATTGACAAAACTAAAAGAATGAGGTCGCATAAAAATAAAAAAGAAATGAAAAAGTGAAGGTATAAAAATGTAATGAAATTTGTTTTGAATATAAATATAAAGAAGAAATATCTCACTGAATAGGGAATACGAAGGATCTTAGCATCTAATTCTGATTCTGAAGACGAGGAGTAATAAAATCGAGCATATGAATGCATCATTGGCACATCAACGGAATACGTTTCTGTTGAATAGAATTTTCCAATTCTCGTTGCTTTCAGTGAAAATGGATGTCGATCCCAAGTTCCCTTGAAAAATAATGCATTCACGACAACCATCACTGAATCCCTTAAAGTGCTTTCTAAAATAATTCACAATTAATTAATGTCATTATTATTTGAATACAATAATTAATTAATTAATAATAATTTAAATGGTTCAATTCATATTTACTTCAAATACTGAAATTTTTTTTTCAAATGCAAGTTATTCGATTTAAATAAAAATTATTTAATTTCATTAAATATTTATTTGATAATTGACAGGTAGCAACTTTTATTGAATTAACGAAATTTTTAGTTGTCTCAACTAAATACTTTCGCTATTCCAAAGAAACGTATCATTGTTCCAGGTGAAGCTTCTTTTCCAATTAATTTTTGAAAAATTAGTTAAATCTTTTAAATTGAATTAAATTCATTTATTTTTCATTTAATATTTTTTAAAAATCCATTTAAGATTATTTATTGTTTAATTAAATAATTTAATTGAATAAATATTTATTGCACTTAATGGAACCAAATAATTTTTAATCAATTCAAATATAGGAAATTATTTATTGTTTAATTAAATTATTTAATTGAATAAATATTTAATGCACTTAATGGAACCAAATAATTTTAAATCAATTCAAGTATAGGAAAAAATTAATTTAAAAAAAAAATTGAAACTAAAAATTAAAATTTATTTGCAAGAAAAAAATGTAATTTAAATATTTAGATAATCTGCATTAAAATTTAAATTCTAAAATTTGTTATTATCTCACCGTCTTCAATGATTTTTTGAATATTACTCTCAGTGATATTGTTCACCCAATTGTTTATATTGTCAGCAACAGCATGTGTGTCCGTTAAGTTTGCACTTACAACATCTGTGGAGTAAAACATTTTTACGATTGCCGAGTATCTTTGACGAAGTTGTAAAGCAGAATCAACGTAAATGCGGGTCCCAACATTCAATGTGTAATCAGGATTCTTGGCCTGAAAAAATATCAAACAGATTCATTTTTTATTAATAAACAAATTAAAAAAAAAGTCACAACAAAATTGAAGAAATAAATTTACAATAGGAAAAAAAAAATTTGTATCCATTTTTCATTTATCAGTACAATAGAGAAAAATTTTATTTCACATAAATAAAACTTCTATTTGAACTGAATAAAATTTTATTTGAGCTAAATAAAATTTTATTTTAACATAAATAAAACTTTTATTTGAACTAAATAAAATTTTAATTTAAACCAAATAGACCAAATAGCAAACTACAATTTTTATTTGTTTCAAATAAATTTATTTATTTCTTTTTAAATAAAAATGTTATTTGACAGAAATAAAACTTTTTTTTGAACTAAATAAAATTTTATTTAAACCAACTAAATTTTATTTGAAACAAATAAGATTTTATTTTGAACTAAATAAGATTTTATTTGAACAAAATAAAATTTTATTTAAACCAAATAAATTTTATTTGAAACAAATAAAAGGTTTAGTTGGCTCTGAGAAAAAATATCTTTTTTTTTTTTGCAACTGTACAGAGAATATTTTTTTAAAGAAGAAAATTTTTTGCTCTCTAGCAAAGAATATAATTATAATTATTTTTTTCATTGAAATAAACAAAAATTCAATACTTTTTGCTTTTAATGAAATATGTTTATAGTAAAAAAACGACTTTTTTCAGCATTTAAATTATTTTTTACTTTAATAAAAAAGAAAAAAATGTTTTTTTTTAAATGTAATTATTAAAAAAATGGATATGGAATTTTATTTTTATTTTAATGAAAAGAAAAAAATTACCTGTAGTGATTGTAAGATTGTCGTGAATTTATCTCTCGTGACAGCTCGGTTTATGGGCAAATGCAAAGCAGTTGCCAATTCTTGTGCAGTTTTGCCTTGAGCACCCTCGTATAAATAAATTAATGCCAATTTCGTTGATATCGGAGAAATCAACATATTTCCCGGATTTTTCTTTGACATTATCTAATTTTCACATTTTAAAATAATCGTTAAACAACATTTTTTAATTTCTCCTCCAGTGTAATATGAAATTCTTTATTTATAATTAATTATATAATAATAACAATAATAATATAATATTAATTAGGAAATTTAAAAAATTATTTAGTAAATAATATTATAGACTGAAAAAAAAATTTATTTGATTCAAATAACCGATTAATTGACTATTTGAAGCAAATACCATTTAATTGACTCCAATAAATATTATTTGATTCAAGTAAATATTTAATTGACTCCAATAAATATTATTTGAATCAATTAAATATTTAATTGATAATAGTCAATTAATCGGTTATTTGAAACAAATACATTTTCTTTCAGTGTAATATTAAATAATAATATAATTACTAGAAGTATTTAAGCAGTAATTTATTAGTTGAATTAAAAAATATATTAAATTATTTTTTACCATTTAAATTAATAGTGAAAAATTAGTTAATTAACTGATTAAGCCACTGAAAAATAATTATTTAAGCAAAACAATCGTCTGTAGTTGATGTAAATTTTTTTTTTTTGTTAATTGATTTTCATGAAATAATTGATACAAATAAATAGTTATTTTTGCGATAATAGTTAAGTATAATGAATTATTTGAGTAAGAAATAAATTGTTTTTCAGTGCAAAATTAACAGTTAATGACTTAAAAAATATAAATAATTAATATAATATTTAAAATAAGTTTTTACTTTGAAAATATTCCAGTCAAATACATTGAATCGCTCCCCCTGATACGGAATAAAATCGTCAATATCATCATTTGTCGATGATGCGTTTCTGGTGAACTTTTGAGTTCCATCAACATTTATATCTTTTTGAGAAAAACTTATAACGAAAGCTAGAAGCAGCCATCCTAAATGAAACAAAATTTTTATATATAATATTCATGAGAAAAAATTAATTTTATTGAAAAAAAATTAATTAACTAAATTAAAAATTAATTTGTATTTTTGAAAATCAATATTTTTTTTATTTTTTTAATTAAATATTACAAAAATTGTACCTATAATATTATCATTTTAATTTATCATTTTTATTATCATTTAACTTATAACTAAATTAAAAAATTTAATATTTTTTTTAAATTTAATAATTAACTAAATTAAAAATTAATTTAGTTATAAGTTAAATGATAATAAAAATGATGAATTAAAATTATAATATTATAGGTACAATTTTTGTAATATTTAATTAAAAAAATTTTTTAAAATATTGATTTTAAAAAATACAAATGAAAGAAAATAAAAATGTCAATTTCAATAAAATTTTATTTCATTAAATTAAAAAATTATTTTAATTATTAAAATATTGAGAGTGATTATTTTAATAAATTTTGAGATATTAATTAAAGAAATATGAAATAATAAACTTGTTAAACTTTAACGACTCAACAGTAGAAAATTTGTTCACCGACTTGAAATTGTTGTTTGATAAATAATTAAATCTTTTTGTACAAGAAACTTGTACTATTCAGTCTGCAATTGATTATGAAGTTTCATAAAAAAAAATTGCTTATTTACTGAAAATCAAACAAAGATTTATGAAAGCATTTATTGAGAAAGAAAAATTTACCTAATCGTTAAAACAACTTATAATAATTGTTGTATGGAAGGATGACTAATGAGAATAAAAAATATTTATAATCTCACTTTAAAGATTTATTTCCTCTTTTCATTTATATTTTTACGATTTCTAAAGCACTCGGATTTTATGTGTTAAAAATAACAAAAAACAATTTGCAATCTTTTAACTTTTTATCAAGTATTTAAAAAAAATTTGTCAAAAAAAATTGATGAATTCAAAAAAAAATTTAATTAAAAAATTACTGTTTTACAACTTGACGATTTTAACAATATTTTTATTTATTTATTTATAATGTCTGAATGTAAATATCAAAGAATCTTTTTTATTGCTCTTTTGTTAAAACTGTTTTTTAATTATTTTGTATTAAAAAAGAGGATACATTGAGTTATTTTTGTTTATTTGTATTTTTTATATTTGTTTATTTTTCGAAATAAAAAATTATTAAAAAAAAAAAATAATAAATAAAATAATAAAATTTTTAAAAAAATTATTTAAAAAAAAATTCGCGAAATAATTATCAGTGTGTCAAATTTGTTAATTTGCAAAGTTTTATTATCATTCAATAGTTAAAAAACAATTTTTACCAAAAAAATAATAGTAAAAGTAAAAAAATATTAAACTAATTAAATTAAATAATTATACTGAACAACAATTAAATTAAGTTTAACAATTGAAATCAATTATGGAAATTTTAAACGAAAAAAACAATAACAACTGTAAAACGAAGTTTATAAAATGAAAATTTAAAATTATTTCTAAATGTAGAAAACAATTGTAAAAAATTATTTCCGGAAGTCAAAACGATTGTAAAATAAATAAATAAATAAATATTAATATTGTTAACTAATAGTTATCAATTAATGATATTATTAATATTAAAAATAAATAAATAACTAAATATTAAAATATAAAACGAAGTTTAAAAAATGAAAAATTATAATTTAATTAATGAACATAAAGTTAATTTTAAAATTAACAAACTAAATTAAAAATCTTTTTAATTAAAAATTTTAATATGTACCTACTTTAAATAAAAAAATCGAAAATAGAAAGAAAAATTATAAAATCACAAGCTGTGATTAAACTTCCAATTATTCTAAATTTAGAAATTATCAAACAATCAAAATTTAAATTCGAAATGTCAAATAAGAAAATTGAAAAAATAAACTTTAAATTAAAAAGTGATAAAAATTAATAAAAAAATGTATACAGAAAAATTGTTAATGTGTAACAGAAAATTAAAAACTTGAATGAAACAATCATTACTATGTATTAATTTAAAATTTCATTAATATTGAATTATGATAATTTAACTATAAAACGAAGTTTATAAAGAAAAAATACAAAATTATTTTCGGAAGTATTGTAAATTTGTAATATTATAATATTATTAATTAATATTAATAATATTATTAATATGAAATTTTCTATATAAAACGAAGTTTATAAAAATAAATGAAAAATTATTAGCCATTGTAAAAAAAAATTGCAAAAAAATTGTGAAAATTAATTTCCGAAAGTAAATACTCATTATAATATAATCACGCCGTGAACAATATACCTATATATTTTCAGAGACGCATTGAAAATCCTCATTTGCAATTGTGTTTTTTCTCGAAAAAAATTATTAGCAATATATTTTTTTTCGCGCAAATGTTTTAAAAACCAGAAATAGTGTGAATTATTTAAAAAAAAAATTCTTACCAAATTTTCTTTTGTCGCACATGATGGAAAATTTCTCTTAAACAGAAGAAAATAAAAGGAAAAAAAAATTAAAATGAATACTTTGCACTTATGAGAGAAGAGTTCATGGACGTGTTCAACGGTGAAACAAACCGGCTCAACTGGCCACTTCTTCTGGTACAAAGTGATAGAATATACACATCAGGAAAATACTTGAAACAAAATGAGAGGGGATATATCCTTATATTTTATATATACGTATATATCTATTGTATATTGAAAAAGTTTTCGTCAAAATAATTCCGGAATCTACAGCTTAGTGAATCATGCGAAGTTTTCAAAAAAAGGGTTTTTTTTTGTTTCATAATTTCTTTTACTCTATTGCAAATTAATATATCTTTCGAAAAAAATTTTTTTCTCTTTTCTAAAAGTGTTTTTTTTTTCTTTTATAAGAAATTTTTTATTTATTGAATTTTTTTATTTAATGAAATATTTATATTTCAATAAAATATATTTTTATATGAAATTTATATTATTGAGTTAACAAATATTTTTTAATTATTTTATATTGCAAAAGAAGTGAACAATTTGCAATAATTTTTTAAACTTACTTTTTTGTTAACGAACAATGATATATTGAATTATAAAGCTGGTAAGATTTTTAATTATACTCTTTTCTCTCAGAGTTTATAAACAAATTAAATTTTTAATTTTGAAAATCAAATTTCATAATTGAAATGCAGAATTGAAAAATCAAATAGAAAAATTTATAAAATAATGAATTTAAAAATAAGAATTAATTGAAATTTATAAAGTTTCATTTGTGGACAAATTTTTAACTTGTAAATGATAATTAAAAACTTAAAATAAAAAGATTTAATGATTGAAGCTATTATCACTCGACAAATTTTAATAATAGAGTTGAAGTTATTTTTTTAACCTGACTCGAGGTGATCGATAACTTCAACTCTATTATTAAAATAAAAAGATTTAGAAAAAATGAAAAAAAAATTTGAAAGAATGACTGCAATAATTAAAAAATTTAATTAAAACATCAAACAAATAAATCATCAAAACTTTTAAATTCAAAATTTAAAAAAATCAATTGAATTTTCCAATTAAAAAACTAGGATTGAAAAATTTTAATTCAAAAAAATAAAAGGAAAATTTAAAAGTTGAATGCAATAATTAGAAGATTAAATTTTAAATGATTTATTTAAAAATCACTTATTTGAATTGAAAAAGTAAAAAATTTTTGTGATAAAAAATTGAATACAGAAATTGAAGAATTATATCTATATTCAATAGTTAAACATTGAAACGAAAAATAGAAAGAAAAATTGAAATTATTAAAAAAAGGATTTCAACAAATTAATCAAATTTAATTATGTAAAAATAAAAAAAAATTGAATTTAAAACAAAGAAATTGAATTTAAAATTTGAAAAATTGAATTTAAATCGAAGAAATTAAATTTGAAATGAAAAAAATTGAAAATAAAATTGAAAATAGAATTGAAAAATTGAATATAAAATGAAGAAATTGGATTTAAAATTAAAAAATTGAATTTAAAACAAAGGAATTAAATTTAAAATTAAAGAAATTGAATTTGAAACGAAGGGATTAAATTTAAAATTAAAGAAATTGAATTTGAAACGAAGGAATTAAATGTAAAACGAAGAAATTAAATTTAAAATTTGAAAAATTAGATTTAAAGCGAATGAATTAAATTTAAAATTAAAAAATTAAATTAAATCAAAGAATTGAATTTAAAATTTGAATAATTGTGTTTAAAGCGAAAGAATTATGTAAATTTAAAATTAAAAAATTGAATTCAAAGGAAAAAATATAGAATTTAAAATTTGAAAAATTGAATTATAACAAAGAAAATGTCTTTAAAGTTAAACAATTGAATTTAAAACGAAGAATTTGAATTTAAAATTAAAGAAATTGAATTTGAAATTGAAAAATTGAATTTCAAACTAAGAAATTCAATTTAAAATTAAAAAATCGAATTTAAAAACCAAGAAATTGAATTTAAAATTAAAGTAATTGAATTGAAAAATTGAATGTAAAACGAAGAAATTTAATTTAAAATTTGAAAAATTGAATTGAAAGCGAAAGAATTGAATTATAACAAAGAAAATGAATTTAAAATTAAAAAATTGAATTTAAAAAAAAAATTGAACTTAAAATTAAAGAAATTGAATTTCAAACTAAGAAATTGAATTTAAATTTAAAAAATTTAATTTAAAATTAAATAATTGAATTTAAAACAAAAAGATTGAATTTAAAAATTGAAAAATTGAATTTAAAACGAGGAAATTGAATTAAAAAAAAAATTGAATTTAAATTTAAAAAATTGAATTTAAGGGCATTTGAACCTTGATGACGTTACACTTTGTGCAAAGCATGTGTGACGTCATCAAGGTTCAAATGCCCTTAAAACGAAGAAATTGAATTTAAAATTAAAAAATTGAATTTAAAAATTGAAAAATTGAATTTAAAACGAAGAAATTGAATTTTAAACAAATATAAATTGAACTTAAAATTAAAGAAATTAAATTGAAAAATTGAAAAATTAAATTAAAAATATTTAGAACATTATTTATTCGGAAAATAGTAAAAAAAAAAGTAATTATATACTAATTTTTTTTTCTTCAAAATGGAATATAAATTTTTTTATGGAATTTCCAAACGTTTAATAAATTATTATTGTGAGATCGTAAAATCTTTACAAATCACACTATTGCAAGTAACAATACTTAGAATTTTTATTTTACAAAAATACTCGAGTGTAAATGAATGAATCATAAACTAAATTAAAAAAATCGTTACCGTAAATGAAAGTTATTGTTGTAGTTTCTGGGTATTTCATAAATGCTAATTCATTATCATCATTTTTACTATATAAATGTAATCAATTGTTTCACTTTTTGCCAGTGAAAAATAATAATTTTTCAATTTCAAATCAATCAATTTAAAATATCAAATTAAAATTTATTTCAATATTTTTTTTTAATTTGTTAATTAAAAATATTATTAAATTTATTTAATTAATAATTATTGTCTATTATTCAATAGTAATTAATTGTTATTTATTAATCAATTTTTGAATTTGAAAAAAATTTAATTAATTTGTTATTAATTAAGAATTTAATTGTGATAAATATTATGGTAAATAGTTAATACTTTTTTATAATTATTAATTTTGTGTAATAAATAACTTAATATACTTATTATTCTATTAGTATTCAATTATTAATCAAATTAAATTAAATTGAATTAAATTAATAATAATTAAATTATTAATATATCTTTCATTATCAAGACAAAATTTGTAAATAAACTTAGCAAACAAAAATTATAAATCACTAAAATAATTTATTATTAATATTGTTGATTATTTTTCGATTTGATATTAAAATTTAATTGTTTTACTACATTTGAATTTCGCGCTCACTGACTTTTGTACTAAAGGAACATTCATATCCGCCAGGGCTGGATCGCTAGATCGTTCTTCTTTATGATGCAAGCAATAGAAATGTGATTGCACCTTTAGGCCTCTTTACGCTGTACCCTTTTAATTTAGAAATTGTTTTTTTTTAGTTTGATTTAATTTGACAATGACAACAATTAATTAAACAACAGTTATACTTTATTCTATCAAAATTAAAAATTACCAAGAACTTACTACTTAAAATAAACGACTGTCAAAGTGAAAAACATAATAAACAATTTGAATTTGACAACTTGACTTGACAGTTGACACATGGTTTTTCAAATATTGACAAATGTTTTCGTAAAAGGCAGTACAAAGTAAAAATGTCTACTATGAAACGTCACTGATAAAAACATTCATTTAAATGTTTATTATAAATAACTCAGAGGAGAAAAGAATAAGAAAAATGCTTTGTAAATAATTTTTCTATGTACTATACACCATATTCTAATAAGTTTATTGTTATAAATGTAAATTATATTAGTATTATTATATTGCACATAAATGAAAATTGACGTGCTTGATGGGGGAAAAAAACAATTGATTACATCTGTGATTTGACAAGACAATGACAACAACAATTATGTACCACGCCCAAATTTAGGCGAATTAAAATAAACGATTCTTGGTGAATCAATTGTAGAAATAATTGTTAATTTTCTTTTGTTTTTTTTTAAGAAAAGTGCACTTTTTTTTACAAACGTTATACACACATAAATGATGAGTGTGCAAACACGATACCCTTACGAGGGTTTACTTCATAAATATACAAATGCAATGAAAGGATGGCAATATCGTTGGTTTATTTTAAGTCCAGAAACTGGTGAATTACATTATTTTCTCACCGAAATGGAGAAAAGTCAAAAGCCAAGGTGTTCTATTTATTTAGCTGGTGCTGTGATTGCTCCTAGCGATGAGGATTCCACGACTTTTACTGTCAATTCTGCAACAGGTATTATATTTCTCTTGTTTTTGTTTGTTTCTGAAAAAAAGAATGATAAAATAAATTCGAAAATTTCTGAATGTTCCAATGAGCGAACTGTATTTATTTTTGTTTTTAATTTTAATTTTTTTTTAATTGTACATGATCCTAAAGTTCCGAACGTTCGAATGAACGAAATTTATGTATTTCTTCTCTCAAATTAAATTTTTATTGCAATAATTTTGCGTCACTATCAAAGGAATTAATTTAAGTTTCTAAATGTACTTAGAAATTAAATTTCTAATTTTTATTGCAATAAGTAATTTTAATTAGTAAAAGTTCTAAACGTTCAAATGAACGAAATTTGTTTCTGGATTGCCGCACAATCAGGATTGTCAGAGAAAAGTCGGAATTTTTTCAAAATTACTGAAAACATTAAATTTTTAGAATAAGAAAATTCTTAATTTTGTTGTTCAACTGCCTTTAAAAAACAAAAAAATATTCAATTTTACTTTAATTTCTTTCTATTTTTTTAACAATAATTGAAATTATTTTTATAAATAATAAAATACTTATAGATAAATTCCATTATTTTAAATATAATTTTAATAAAATTCTTCAACAGAAATTCAATTCTTTTCGTAAATAATAAAATTTTCACAGGAATTCAGTGAATTTTTATTGTATTTTATTTAAAATACAATTATTATAAAATTTTTCGAACAAAATCAATTATTAAAAAAATTTGTATAAAATTCTTCGCAAGAATTTAATTATTTCCATAAATAATAAATGTCTTTGCAGGAATTCAATTATACTAAAATTTCTCGAAAGCATTCAATTAATTTTTTTTTAATTTTAATAAATTCTTTGCAAAAATTCAATTATTTTCATAAATAATAAAATTCTTCAGAGGAATTTTCAATTATTTTCAAAAATTTTAATAAACATCTGTCTACGAATTCAGTTATTTTTAGTAAATTTGAATAAAATTCTAATTATAAGAATTAGATTATTTTCAATACAATTTTAATTAAATTCTTTGAAAAAATTTGCAGGAATTCAATTATAATAAAATTTCTCTCAAGAATTCATTTTTTTTTAATTTTTAATAAATTCTTCGCAAAAATTGAATTATTTTGATAAATATTAAAATTCATCAGAGGAATTTTTTTTAATTATTTTCAAAAATTGTAATAAAATTTCTCGAAAGAATTCAATTATTTCTAATACATTTAAATAAAATTCTAATTTAAAGAATTGAATTATTTTCAATACAGTTTTAATTAAATTCATCGAAGAAATTTGCAGGAAGTCAATTATTTTCATAAATAATATAAGTAATTGCAGGAATTCAATTCTTTCTTTAATTTTAATAAATTCTTTGCAAAAATTCAATTTTTTTAAAAATATTTTTAGTTATTCTTTTTATGAAGTTAATTATTTGCAATACAATTATAATTGAATTCCATTAAAGAATTGAATTATTCTCAAAAATTTTCATAAAATTGTTCAAAATATTTCAATTTTTTCAAAAATTTTAATAAAAATCTATGCGAGAATTTAATTATTTTAAATTCGAAATTATAATAAAAAAAAATTACAAAAATTACAAAAAGTAATATAAAAAATCCAAAAGCTTTAAAGTAATCGAAGTTTAAGAAAATTTTGAATTCAAATAACTTTCTATTAAAAAGTAAATAATTGAATTGCAGAAATTCAATTATTTTTAAAAATACAAAAATTCTTCGCAAAAATTCAATTATGTTAAAAAAATTTTTTAAATTCGTGCCAAAATGTCAATTATCTTTATAAATAATAAAATTCTTCTCCGAATTTCAATTATTTTCAGAAAATTTAATAAAATTCTTGGCAAAATTTCAATTATTTTCAAAAAATTTCCCTCAACTCAATGATTTTAATTATATCTATTTTAATTTGATTTTCCAAAAGAATTTAATTATTTAAAAAAAAATGTTAAGAAAATTCTACGCAAACCTTTAATTATTTTCATAAAATAATAAAAATTTCACAGGAATTCAATTATTTACAAATTTTTTATAAAATTCTGAGCGAAATTTCAATTATTTTCATAATATCAAAAATCTTTCGCAAGAATTTAATTATTTTAAAGAATTTTGATAAAATTCTTCGCAAAAATTCAATTATTTTGAAAAAATTTGATTGAATTCCTTATATGAGAATTGAAATATTCTCAATACAATTTTAATTAAATTCCTTGAAAAAATTCAATTATTTTCAAAAATCTTAATAAAATTCTTAGCAAAGATTTCAATTATTTTCATAATAAAATTCTTTTTAGGAATTCAATTATTTTCGTATATTATAATAAAACTTCATCGCAAAATTTAAATTATTTTTAATACAATAATTTTTATCGAATTCCCCGAGAAATGTAATTATTCTTAAAAATTTTATTATAAAATTCGTCGAAAGAATTCTTTATGAGAATTCAATTTTGAGAAACATTTAATTATTCAATAAATTATTTATTTTTATATTTTTAAATAATTTAATTCTTGTTGAATTTTCTAATAAGAATTGTAGAAAATAATAATTCAATTGAAATGATAAAAATAATTTTAAAGAAGTTACACTAACAATATTTTTATAAATTAAAATAATTTTTTTATCACTCGGTTATCTTTAATTATTGTAAAACTTGAAAAAATCGATTGCTCCGAGTGATCGATTTCTTCATGTTTTATAATAATATTTTATCAGTTGTTGAATTTCAAAAAGGTTTGAATTTGAATATTTTGCAAAATTTTAATTTCTACGGAAAAATAATAATTAAATATTTATTTAAAGATTTTGTCTGGAAATCAGGGGAAAAATTTAATTTTTGTGGCAACCCTGTTTTATTTTTTAAAAAAAGAAAATTTTATATAGAAAAAAAAATATTTCACTTATTTGAACGTTCAGAACTTTTGGAAAACACCAAAAATCCTTTTTTTTGAGAATTTGGAAGAATATTTTAAAAGAATTGATTTTTCTTTTTAATTTTAAAAGAAGAAGAAAAAGGAGAAAAAATTTGTTAAAGAACTATTTTTTTTTGCAGGGGACATGATTAAACTAAGAGCAGCTGACGCTCGAGCGAGACAAGAATGGGTGGATAAACTTCGTGCAGTCACGGAAATGTACACGAGAGCAATAGCCAGTAGTCATCCGCCACTTCCTCCGAGGGAGCACAACAATCCTTCGATTAGAAATCCAGTTTCGAAAATTGAAGTCCTAGACGCATTCGCCAATTGTCGTGAACAATTAATTAAAGTTGAGAAACACACTGTGGCTCTATCGCAGACCATTGAAAACTCCAGCTTCAATTTAGATCAAGATTTATTAGTCTTAAAAGCTACTGCCCACGCAACATTTCATACCTTAAATCAATGTTTAAACATTTTATATCAATAGTTTTTTGCAAAAACAATTATACTTCATGAAAATACGAACGAATCGTTAATATTACGAATTTAAGAGGAATTTTTGCTTTGAGATTTTTCATTCATAGTCTTGAAAAGAAAAATCTTTTTTCTCAGAAATAAGAAATTAGTTTTCTTAGAAATTTTACATAATTTTCTATTTATCTCATTTTTCATGTTCGTTTATAATTTCGATGTTCTGTGAAAATGTAATTAAAATATCTTTTTTTTTGTGAGAGCGTAATTTTTTGTTTCTTACTTGACGAATTTTTATTCGTTTTAACGATAATTGATTTACAACGAAACATTTCTAGTGTGAAAAGAAAATATTCTGAGGCGAATCAGAAAAATGGAAAATTATGTAAAATTGAAAATCATAAAAATTTCGAAAATCGAATATTTTTCTTTTTTTGGGGAAGAATTTTGTAAACTGACTTTTTGGCACTTGTGTCAAAATTATCAAGTGCGTGAGGTTAAAATTGTTATTCCTCTTATTAGAGATGCTGTTTTAAGTATCTCTCTAATTATAATTTTCTTTTTCAACAAATTCTTAATTAGAAGGAATAAACATATCATTATTGTAGCAGTCGTTCGATCATAATTGTATAGTACTCTTTAAAAATTTAATTATCGAGAACATTTACTTATATTTACGTTCTTTTCTTTTTACGTACTCTTCTCATTTCAATTTCAATTTTCCTAAATTTATAGCTAAATTTTCCCTTGACGTCTCGTTTCTAAATTTTATATTTGAAATGAAAATTTTCCCATTAGAAAAATCTTTCTTACTTTTTCTAATAATGAAAAGAAATTTCCAATTCGGAAAATCTTTATTACTTTTTTATTTTAGTAAAAAAAATTTCCAATTCGCAAAAAATTGTTATTACTTTTTTATTTTAGTAGAAAAAAACTGTCCAATTCAGAAAATATCTTTGTTACTTTCTTTATTTTAGTAAAAAAAAAATTTTCAATTCGCAAAAAATTTTCTATTTTAGTAGAAAAAGTTTTCCAATTAGGGAAAAATCTTCATTCCTTTCTTTTTATTTTTAGTCCCAATTCAAAATCTCTTTGTTACTTTTTTTCTATTTTTATTAAAAAGGAAATCAAGTACAAATTAATACTTAATATCTTCTCACGCCAGGGAAATAATTTTACAAAAAAAAAATCTGCTTCCACTTGAAAAAAATGTCAACTATATTATATATACAAATATTGTTAAATTGTATTTTGTATTTCGATTAAATATTCGAAAGTTTCTTACAAAAAAAACAAAATTCTGAATCAAAATTCTAAATTTTAGAAAAAGGAAATCCGATTTCCCAAAGACTTTTTTATATTATAATAATAATTTTTATAATTTTTGTCCCTTCGGTTCTTGAAGAGTTAATTTTTTATTTTGTTTATAAATTTGTGGTGTGAAAATAATTGGATACGATAATGATGAGGATCGAATGTTAAATATAATTAATTAAAACGAAACTTTGCATTTCCAACTGATAAGGTCGGTTGATCCGTCTTTGAATTATTGTATAGTGTTTATATTTTATACGACTTTTATTGTTTCTGCGTTTTTGCAAGTGAATAAAAACGAAAGGTAAATTCTTCCGCTTTTTTATTCAATCAGAATTCACTATTTGTGACGCGATCTGAAGAAAGGGACCTTAGAAGCAAAAAATTATAGGTTATGTTTGCAACTTTTTAAATGAAAATACAAAAAAAGGATCAACTGTCAATATAAATCATTGATGTTTAAGTCTTCATTAAAACTAAAATATTTAATAAACACTGATTTTAATTCGAAATAAGTAAAAAGAAACTTTCAAACAAAAAAAAAGTAACTCTAACCCAACCTTAAAATGATTTGCTTCTAAGGTCCCTTTCTTCAGATCGCGTCACATTTTTATTATTCTCCAGATATTTTTTCTGTTTTCATTTTATTCAGTTTTTACTTAAATTAGTTATTTTTTACTTCTATTTTATTATTTTTATTTTTTTATCTTTTTACTCATTTTATATTGAATTTAACTTTATTATTTATTAGGATTCTTTTCTTTTTCAGGCGTTTTTCACAGACAGAAGGAAAATAGAAAAACGAAAAACATACTGATACAAAAATTCCTTTCTTTTTACCGAATTCTCATTTTTTATTTACTAGTAATTATTACTTTTAGTTTTTCCAGTCTTTTTTCATCAATAGAAGTGTAAAAATAGAAAAACGAAAAAATTTTTGATACAAAATAATTTTGTTTTACTGAATTTCACTTTTTTATTTATTTAATATTACAAATAATTTATATTTATTATAGAATAATTTAGTAATTAGTATTTTTAGTTTTTCAGACTTTTTTCATGGATAGAAGAAAATTGAAAGAAAGAGAAACTTGATGACTCAAAAAAATGAAGGAAAATCGAAAGAATAGAAGCAAAAATAGAAAAAGGAGAAATTTGCTGACACGAAAATTGAAATAATTATTACAGTTGATGGTAAAAGACAAAAATGGAAAAAATGAAGAAAAAAATAATTGAAAACTATTCCAAGAGTTTTGAATATATTAGAATGTTAGTTTTTAATGCTTGACGGAAACAATCTGGAAGATTCAGTGACAAGGTCAAGAATTTGGGTGAAGGTAAACCAGCCAACAACTTTTACTGATCAATGATGCGAGGATGCTGTACACAAGATTTTTCCTCTAGTAAGCTTAAATTCATCATATTCCAACCACGTATTTATTCCACGTTTACTGGAAATTTTTTTCTTCTAAACATTTATGTAATTATTCAAATTTAAAAGCAAAAAAAAAAAACTTGAGCAATTTTGCATAAAGCTCTCCATATTTTAATATTTTTTGAATCATTATTTCAATAGCAAGAAAAATAGATAATAATTTTTAAAAAATGTAAATTTAGTAGATTTTTTACTCATTTTCTTCTGTACTTTTTTGTCATCTATTTTTAGTCTAAAAAAAATTGTCCCTCAATTGAAAGTAAAAAGAAATAATAAAAAATTAGGAATAAATATTTTAACGTGAAATATTTCTCTTCTTTTGACAGATGAAACGCAAAAGATGGAACTGAGTGGAAGAGAAGAAATAATACTCGGATCAATCTGGAATAATCGACAAGACGATAATTCCCAAGTGAATGAGAAAAGATTTCGAGGATTTCATCTAACGAGATCAAAATGGGATCCATATCCATGGGTAGGTTCTGTTGAAATCGAAAGTGATGCACAAATTTCAGGCTTGAGGTAAAAAATTATTTTTCGAAAAGCATTTTTAAATTAATTTTTTTTTAAATTTGAAGTAAATAAATTTTGAAAATTATTTTGTATGAACTATTTAATTATTTATTAATTATTAAATAATTTAAATAAATTCAAATTATAGTTTTGAAAGCAAAAAATCTTTATTTATAAATTTTAAGTTTAAATCGAAAATTTATTTTCAGAGCAGGAGATTGCCTCCTGCAAATTGACGGCGAGGATTTGCTGGGACTAAAAATGTCGGATATTGCATTTCTAATAGGAAGATGTGATCAAGTGAAAATTCAAGTGTGGAGACACAGGAGCAATTTAGAGAAGAAATCGGAAGTTAGTAAGGAAGAAATAAATAATGAGGAGAAAGAAAGGAGGAACGTGAGAATTTTAGCACTGGAAGGACCTCTCCCCGAGGTGGCAATTAAATTATCGAGTGCAGTGTCTGGAGTTGTTCGAGCACTCGAATGTCCAGTTAGTTTCTGTATTTTTTATATTCTTTAAATTTTACAAAAAATTTTGATTTATTTTTTTTTTTAATTTAAATTCTTGTTATTTCGAATTTACTTTTATTTAAATCTTTACAAATTTCCATTCATTTCTAAGTATTTTGATGTAATTTCATTACAAATTTTCATTTATTTTTATTTATTTTGATTTCATTATTTTTAGTTTAGTTTCTGTATTTTTTTTCTTATTTAAATTTGACGACATTTTTGCATTATTTTGGATTTTTCATTTAAATTCTACAAATTTTAATTTTGGTATTTTGATTTTATAATTTTTTTTTAGTTTCTGTTTTTTTTTTTGCAAAGAAAATTTTTGATGTTCTAATTTTACTTAGATTTTGTATATATAAATTTTAGAAAATTTTTGAGGTTTTATTTTTTCGTTTAAACTTTAAATATTTTTAATTTATTTGCATTTAAAATTTTTCAAATTTTGATTTATTTCAATTCATGTTTTTTTACTTTAGTTTCTGTATCTTTAATTATTTAAATTTTACTAAATATTTCATTATTTTAGAGTTTCGTATTTTTTATTCGTTTTTCTTGAAAATTAAACATTTTTTTTAATTTAATTTAATTATATTAGTTACTGTATTTTTTTAGTAATTAAATTTTCAAAATTTTTGATTTATCTTAGAATTTTCATATTTGAATTGAACTTCATTTATAAATTTTTTAAATTTTGATTGAATTCAATTTAAGTCTTTTATTTTAGTTTCTGTATCTTTAATAAGTTAAATTTTACAAAATATTTCTATATTTTAAATTTTTCATATTTTTTATTAATTTTTATTGAAATTTTACAAATTTTCATTGATTTTAATTTAATTATACTATTTTAATCTCTGTATTTCTATAGGTATTATTTTTAAAATTTTCAAAATTTTTGCATTATCTTAGATTTTTTATATTTTGGATGAAATTTCATTTAAACTTTTTCAAATTTTGATTATTTTAATTTGAATCTTTTATTTTAGTTACAATATTTTTAATAATTTAAATTTTTACAAAATATTTCTTGATTTTAGATTTTTCATATTTTTGATTTATTTTTATTGAAATTTTACAAATTTTGATTGATTTTAATTTAAATTTTATAATTTTAGTCTCTGTATTTTTTTATTATTTAAATTTTCAAAATTTTCGCTTTATCTTAGAATATTTAATATTTTAGATTCAGTTTCATTAAATTATTATTGTATTTTCTGCATTTTTTATTATTTGAACATGACAAAATTTTTGTTTTAATATATTTTTAATTTAAATATTACATATTAATTTATTTTTATAGAAATTTTACAAATTTTGATTGATTTTAATTTAGTTATTTCATTTTAGTCTCTGTATTTTTTTATTATTTAAATTTTCCAAAATTTTCGATATATTTATTAGAATTTAAGTATGATTGTCAATACATTTTAAATTAAATTTCTTGAAAGAATTAAAGTATTTTTAAAAATTATAATGAAATTCTTTTTAACAATTAAATTTATTTTCAAAATAATTTAAATAAAATTCTTCGTAGAAATTTAATTAATTTTAATAATTTATCAAAACTTCCGAATATCTAATCGATAAAATTTCGTAAAATTGAATTGTAAACAAAAGGATTTAAAAACTTTCAAAGAAATTTTTCAAAAATTATGAAAAATAATTAATTTAAAGAAGAATTTTAGTTAAAAATCGTAGAAAATAATAATTCAATAGAAATTATGAAAATAATTTGGAAAAAGTTACAGTAACAATATTCTTATAATATAAAATAATGATTTTATAAGTCGGTCATTTTTAATTTCAAAAAGGTTTGAATTTGAATTTTTTGAAGAATTTTAATTCTTTTGGAAAAATTATAATGACTAAAAATATTTATTTAAAAAAAGATAAATATAACAATGTGCGATACAGTATTATATTTGTTTAATTAAATGATAATTAATATTTTTTTTCTAAAATCGACAAAATCTACGATTTTATTGCAAACCTTTTAATTATTAATAAATATTTTTAGATTTGCCTGGAAAGTGCCCAAAGTCCAGTGTCGCAGTGTGTGAACGGCCACATCCTCTGCGTCGGCTGCAGAGCAAAAAGCACCAGATGTCCCGTGTGTCGAGTGAGTCTCGGTCAAGGAAGATGCCTCCTCGCTGACAAATGTCATAAAGTTCTCGTCGAATCATTCGGCATTGACAACAAATCATCATCATCATTAAAATCAGAATCATCGTCACTCTCCAAACGCCTCCTGGGACCAAGAAAGACAAATCAGAACGAAAATATAAATTTCCAAAAACATTCCTCATCGAGTAGAAGAAAAAATCTCATCTCAAGAATATTTCCATCAATCAGTCTAGACGAGAAGGCAGTGTCGACGGAGAGTTTACCAGCGACTGGAAGCTGTGACGAGAATGGAAGATCGAAACGTTACACCGGACGACAGTGGCTTCTTCCGCGAAGTTTCAATAATTTAAATGATCGAACAAAATCGGCAAGCACTGGCGAGTTGTCGAGGGACAATGAACGATCGGTGAGTGGTTCGTTGAATCGTTTGACGAATAATGATGAAATTCGGAATTCCAATGGTTTATTGAGTGTTCCACCGACTCCCGTTTGGGGTGGATCAACGGAATCGATGGCAAATTTTCGAATTAATTGTCCATTGTTGAGGAGAGAGGGATGTCGGGAATTATTAACACGTGAGACGATTTTGGAGCATTTGGCTGCGTCGCACGCTGGACCAATTATTCATTTTCATAATGGAAAGGCGGATTTGCCATTTCCTTGGCCTTTCAGTTCGCAGGGAATTTATGTTTTTCATCGGGACGAGGATGTTTTTTTCCTTCAGGTTTTGAATTTTTATTTTTATTCTATTATTTTCTCTATTTAAAATTTTTGTTCTTCTATTTCTTACATTAATTCTTTTCTTTCTTGTCTTCAACATTTTTTTTCCTGTTAAATTATAAGTTAACGAAGCATTTTTCGTTTTCATTAGATTTCTTCTTTATTTTTATTTATTTCATTACTACTTTCATTATACATTTTATTTATTATGCAAATTAAAGAAATTTCCTGTTTTCAAATATTAATTTAAATTTTGTAATAATTTCAGATTCAAAATTCCAAAAAATTCAATTATTAATTAATTTACTAATTATTTATATTTATATATTGATTTCAAAAACTTTAATCAAATTCTTCGCAGGAAATCAAATATTTTTTAAAACTTGATAAAAGTCTTCTTAAAAATTCAATTATTTTCAAAAAATTTTAATTAAATTATTCATAAGAATTCAATTATTTTCATAATTTTGAATATTTTTCGCAAGAATTTAATTATTTTAAAGAATTTTAATAAAATCCTTCGCAAAAACTCAATTATTTTGAAAACTTTTGATAACATTTTATAAGAATTGAAATATTCTCAATATAATTTTAATTAAATTCCTTTAAAAAAAATAAATTATTTATAAATATTAATTTCAATTTTGGAATAATTTCAGATTCAAAATTTTTAAAGATTCAATTATTAATTAATTTGCTAGTTAATTAAAATTGTTTGTTTTCAAAAACTTTAATAAAATTCTTCGCAGGAATTCAAATATTTTTTAAAAATTGATAAAATTCTTCTCAAAAATTAAATTATTTAAAAAAATTTTGAATAAATTCCTTATGGGAATTTAAATATTCTCAATATAATTTTAAATAAATTTCTAGAAAAATTCAATTATTTTCGAAAATTTTAATTAAATTCTTCTCAAGATTTCAATTATTTTCATAATTTTTAATGTTTTTCGCAAGAATTTAGTTATTTTTAATAATTTCAATAAAATTCTTCACAGAAACTCAATTATTTGAAAACTTTTGATAAAATTATATATGAAAATTTAATTATCTCCATAATTAATCAAATTCTTCGCAGGAATTTAAATATTTTTAAAAATTTAATAAATTACTTCTCAAAAATTAAATTATTTTGAAGAATTTTGATTAAATTCTTTATGAGAATTGAAATATTCTCAACATAATTTAAATTAATTTCCTTGAGAAAATTTAATTATTTTCCAAAATTTTAATTAAATTCTTCACAAGATTTCAATTATTTTCATAATTTTTAATGTTTTTCGCAAGAATTTAATTATTTTAAAGTACAATTCTTTATAAGAATTGACTTATTTTTACTAAAATTCTTTCCAAGATTTCAATTATTTTCACAATTATTAACATTTCTCTAAAAAATTCAATTATTTAAAAAAATTGTAATGAAATTTCTTGAAGAAATTCAATTAATAAAAAAATGTAATTCTTTGCAAAAATTCAATTATTTTCAAAACTTTTGAAAAAATTGTAATTAAATTCTTCACAAAATTTCAATTATTTTCATAATTTATAAAGTTTTTCGCATGAATTTCATTATTTTAAATAATTTTTATAAAATCCTTCGTAGAAACTCAATTATTTTGAAAACTTTTCATAAAATTTTTTAAGAATTCACTTATTTTTAATAATCATCATTTTTCGCAAAAATTCAATTATTTCAAAAGTTTTGATAAAACTCTTTAATAAGAATTTAAATATTTTTAAAGATGTTAATTAAATTTTTCGTAAGAAAATTAATTATTTTAATAAATTTAGATTTTCTTTATAAGGATTCAATTTTCTCATTATTTTCTTTAATTTTTTATTTTTATCAGTCGGAAAACGAATCAATTTGGATCCTCGGCTCGAATAGCAGTGACAACCAAAGGCATTGGACTCTAAAAATTCGGAATAATCAAGAAGATGTAAAATTTCGAAGAGACGTGATAAGTTTGCAAGAAACCATTAACACTTTTCCCACAAGTATTGTAATTCTTCCTGAAAATCGTAATTTCAATTCAATGGAAATTCACCTACTAGATAGTGAAAACAACGAAGATATTGAAGTTTAATAGAAAATTAATAGAAAAAAGTAATTAAAAAAATAGAAAATGTAATGAAAAAAAAGAAAAAAGTAATAAAAATTGAAAAAAGTAATAGAAAATTGTACACATTTGTAATAAAAAATTGTTCACATTTGTATTAAAAAATTATAATTAAGTGACAAACTAAATACAACATTAAAATTTCAATTAAAGATAGTAAACAATTTTATTGATTAATCAAATTAACAATTCTTACACTTATTGATAATTAATGACATCGTTCCTGATAACTGTATTATTAAATACAGAAATTACAATGTCGTTGGCACTGGTTAATTGTTATTTCTTTTTTTTATATATAGTTTATATATAATATAATGCAATCGAGATCATATGGAAAAATGTTTTTAAAATATTTTAATCCATATAAGTATTTAAATGTACGTATAGTTTTTTATTAAGTAGTATCACTTTTCTCTTATAAAAAAATAATTGACCTGTATACGTAACGACGAGAGACAATTTTTCTTTTAAACACTACAAATTTACCAAAAAATTGTACATAACATGAAAATCCAATATTTCTTCAATAAAAAAGTTCTATTATGACACGAAAAACGTTTTTAACACATTTTTTTTCCTTATAAATAAATATTCGATATAACGAGACAAATGCGGATCAATCTTTTTTCTCAATGAAAAATAAAGAGAAAATAATAATAATAACGAGACAAAGCAACTTTTTTTCTAAATTCTTACAAAAACGGATAAATTGTAAAAAAAAAGGTTCATTCCAATATTTTCGAAATAACATAACATTTATGACTAACTTAATGGAATAATTAAGTAAATTATTTTTTAAGTTACTCTAATTATTACTAAAATTAGGAAAATTTTCCTATTTTTCCTATTAAGTAAATGCAACGGTACAAAAAAAATGCATCAATGTAAAGAGTAAATTATTATTCTTGGTAATATAATAATTACTTGCAGCCTCTTAACGCTAAAATGGTCCACTTTTCGTAAAGGCACAATATTTCTTTTCCTCTCACAGTCATTAAATTTAGAAATTCTAAATTCTAGTATTTAGAGTATAAAAAAGACAAATTTTAAAATTATACAATTAATGGATAACAAGTAAAGATAAACAAGATTGTATAAAAGTATAAAAAAAAAAAAATGGAAGAAAACTTAAAGTGGTGGTTTCGATAATTTGCTTAGGTACGGCATATATAAGTCTAGTTTGCCGGTGCGAATGGCCTTTCCTGCCATTATGTCATAAGCGAACTTTTTGACGGCTTTCGCTTCTTCCTTGCCGAGAATATCCATATCTAAATGACAAACAGTTGTGTCGTCACCAAAGGATGCGCACCTCTTTATCGCAGTCGACTGCGCTGCTTCTGCTTTTGTAATCTTTCGTTTTTTGATTTTTTGAGGAGCAATTCCGGTGGCTTCGGCTTCTTCTTTCTCTTTGTCTCGTTTAGGGCAACTGCAGATGCGTACCTGCAGTCGCCTTCTACCGAGGACAGTCTGGTGCTCGTCCTCGAGCGTGAAAATCATCTCCGTGGCTCGTCGATTCATCCCAGAGGTGCAACTATTTTTGCAGAGGAATTTGAAATGCACTGGCACGTACATTGTGCCAATGTCTGGTGTGCCCAGTGGTGTCCGGATAGTTAAATGCCCCGATTGTGTCTCTTCGTACGTGCTGTTGCGATCCACGCATCGGAACACATGTCTATTTGTCACGTGATGGCTATCGAAATTTGATTTACATGGCATTGCCATATGATTGTGGCAACGAAGAACCGGATCCGATCGGTACTGCTCCAGGACGTAGACCATTTGCGTACGCAAAAATAAACCGTTCACAGGAGGTTCCCACTTGAAGCGCAATGGCAGAACCTCATCCATGTTTATGAAAACCTTCGCCAAAGATTGAGAGTACTGAAAAAAAAATAAGATACATAAGAATTTGTTGAAAAATTAAATTCTCTAAACATTTTAAACAAGATTATGAAAATACGAAAATTAAAATTATTATAATAATTTTATTGTAACTGTCCATATTTTTTTCTTAAGCTTTGGGGATTTCAGGCCTTGGATCGACTTTAAGGTGCAAAAAAAGTCGCTTTAGTCGATTTAAAATAGAAAAAAAGTCGTTTATTTAATTCAGTGTCGTCACAAAAATTTTATTTTTTATTCTTCTGATCCTTTCACTGATTTCTAAATTTAATTATTTAAAACTTGAATAATTTCGTTAAACAAATTGGTATTTAAATACTTCTTGTTTGTTTTTATACGGGCATAAAATTTTTAAAATTTCTATTTAAAACCTTCTGAAATTTAATAACTTCTAAAAATTACAACTTTAATTCTCTTAAAATTCAATTATTTTCCACAATTTTTAATCAAACTTCTTCTCGAAATCAATTATTTTTAATAATTTTCCGAAAGTTCTTAGAGAATTCAATTATTTAAATACAACTTAGAATATATTCAGGATCTTAATGTTTGTCAAATAAATACAAAATTTTTTTTTAAGTTATTAATTAATTTTCAAAAAATTCTAATAAAGAAATTCTTAAAATTAATTTTTCAAAAATATTTTTAAAATAATTTATAAAAGATAATAGTTTTTCAATTATATAGAATTGAAAAATTTCCAAACAATTGAAATTTGTAAAAATAATTGTCAAAAAATTTAATGTTATTATTTTTTGTATGTATTTGAATTTTTGGAAATTTGTATATTTAAAAATATTGAAAATAATTGAATTTTAAAAAAATTAGAATGCAAAAATTCTAAGAATTATTTTTATCAAAAATATTTTAATATAATTTTTTTGTAGCTAATAATTTCCATTAATTATCATTTTTAAATTTACATTTGAAGATTTTTCATTAAAATTTTTGAGAAATTAATTATTTTCAAAATTTGCAATTAAAAATCTTTTAAAGTTTATTTTCAAAAATTTTTATCAAACACTTATTGAAAAAAATCAATTATTTTCAATTAAATTTTACAAAATTTCAATTAATGAAACTCTTTTGCATTGTAAATTTTGAACATTTATTTTGTAATTTATAAAAATAGTTGAATTTTTTCGAAGAAATTATTAAAAATTTTTAGGAAATAATTGAATTTTATGGAAATATTTGAAACTATTTGAATTCTTCCGAGAAATTCAATTATATATGTTTTGAAAATAATTGGATTTCTGCAAAGAATTTTACTATTTATAAAAATAATTCAATTCTTGGCGAAGAATTTTACCGCATTTATAAAAATAATTGAATTGTTTCGAAGGATTTATTAAGATTTTAGAAAATAATTGAATTTATTCGAAATATATTAGAAATTGTTTTAAAAATTAAATTCTTCCGAGGAATTTAATTTCAATTATTTTCAAAATTTGCAATTAAAATTCTTCAAATGTTGATTTTCAAAAAATTTGTAAAAAACACTTTTAAAAAAATCAATTATTTTTCATTAATTTTTACAAAATTTCAATATTTATTGAAACTCTTTTTAATTGTAAATTTCGAAAACAAGTTGCATTTTATACTAAAAATTATTGCAATATTCGGAAGAAAAGTCGAAAAAGTCGTAATTTTTGAAAATAAGTTGCATTCGGGGATTTGAGTTTTCGAGGTTTTGAGCATTCGAAGAGTTGAGCATTCGGGGATATTTTCTAGAATTTTAATAAATCCTTTCAAATAATTCAATTACTTTTATAAATAATAATCTTCTTATAGGAATTCAATTGTTTTCAATACAATTTTAATAAATTTGATTATAATCATTATTGTGAGACACGACGTGACGACGATTTTAAAAGGTTGAAAAAATTTTCTTTTTTTAATGCAATTATTTAAGAAAAATGTAATTAAAATTTTTAAAACAAAGAAAGAAATTCTTCAAAAAATTCAATTATTTTCAAAAATCTTAATAAAACTCTTCGCAAGATTTAAATTATTTTCATAAATAATAAATTTTTAAATACGAAATAAATTTCAGAAAAAGTTAGTACAATTTATTTGGGTCTTGGAAAAATTTCCTTCAAAAATAATAAAATTTAATATAAAATATCGTTATTTCCAGAGTCAATTTTATAATATCCGTCGTCAATTTTATTGAATAATGAAAATTAGTAAAATATACTTTGAATTTTGCAAAAAATTTATTCTGAAAATAATAAAATTTGCCAAAAATTCCAAACTATATGAATTTTTCTTAGAAGTAAAAACTATTTTATATTTGTTACCTTTTATGGAAAAATTTCCAAGTTTAAAAACTCTGTGAAATAATAAAGAAAGATTTTTAAGTTATAAAAAACTAAAATTTTTCTACTTTGCGAAAAGTCAAAATTTTTTCTATAATCATAACTAAATAATTTTCTAAATTACAAAGAAATGATAATTTTTATAAGTTTTTCTTAAAAATAAAAGAAAAGGGGAGAGAAAATTTATGATTTTAGGTGTTTCAGGGGATTTTAATAATTCAAGGGGATAAAAAAGGGGACTGTGATCCCTGCAATTTGAGCTGAAAGACATTAAGACAATTTGGAATCAGAAAGCTCCAAATTCTCGTGATAACAAAATATCTTGATTGAGCTATGAAAAATGATAGGAAAAGTTCGCTGGAAAGAAATTAGTTTCTTTTTAATAATTCCAAAAGTAATTTTACTTACAATCCAATGTTTACTCGACGCCTGTTGATTCAACATCAACTGAAAATCGAATTGTCCTGGAAACTCGTCTCTTGGAGCGACCATTGTCATAGCGTACATATTGTACGGCTGCTGAATCGGCTGACCTTGATAATGACTTAAATACTTTTTATCATTATCTTCGAAAATTGCATTCGTCAACTGGTCCACTTCGCTGAAAAGCAACAATTCACAAAATTAGCATATTTGCGACATTTTTTAAAATTGTTCAATCAAACACTTTTAGAATGTCTCCAAAGTCCTAAACGTTCAAATGAATTTCATCATTTCGTTTCTTCTATAAAAAAATGAATTTTTAAATAAATTTTCAAATCGTTATTACACATTTTGTATCTTTATTTGTAGTTTTCAAAAAATTATATTTAAGTATTTGAACGTTCGAAACTTTGGTGAAACGTGAAACAACGTAGAGTACATAACCGCACTTATAGAAAAATATCTTCCGAAAAACCTGTTCACATAAAATATTTAAAAAAAACCCCAAAGAGAAATTATTTTCCTTAATTCTGAATAATTTGTGAAATTCTTTTTTTTCGCTGAAATATGATGCAATAAATTCAGATTGAGTTATAGTGTACATGTGCGATAAACTTACATTCCATCGGGAACTAGATCGTTTTTAATGTGTTCCATCAAAGTGTTATCGAACAGGATCGACTCTTGTGAGTCTGACAGAACATTTCCTCCGGGATGCATTGTGATAAAAGATTATTTAATTACAAAAATTAAACCGGCACCAGGAACAAACACTTGTAACACCACTGCACACACCATAGGCCAGCAACCATTTGTAAACGAAGCCGCCGGACCAGGGGGGAAATAAAAAAGGCGCGTTTTAAAAATAAGTCACAGTGACGTCACTGGTCGCGCGCTTTTTCGAAATAATCGTGAAAATAATACTTTATTTTCAATTTCTATCGACATATTTCTTTCCGAATTGTTTAATTGTGAAAAATATACATTTTCTTCAAATAAAGAAGTGTTTTATTGTTGACGAAATAAGAAATACGGGGAAATAAGGGGAAAATTTTTAGGTTATGTTAGATGCGCAGTGTACTATCGAACCAACCTCATGTATACTATCGACAACCTTGCTTTCGACAGCAAACAAAGAACTTGAAAAAAATAAAAATAGATCAACGAAAAACTGGATTTAAACGGGAAAAAAGAGAGGCGAGAGGGAGATATCGCGAGGATCGGAGGATTGCGACCTTGAGGACCTTGAGCAACATTGTGAACATTGTGCTTCTGTTATTTGTGTGCTCAATTGTACTTCGGCAGGTATATAAAATATTACAATGCATCAGATGTTTTTTTCACTTTTTTTGAATGGGATCGACTTTCAAAATTGCAGGTAGTTTTAAATTTAGTGTCCTAGTTTCTATTTACGATCATTATTATTACCGAACGAGAACTGCAAATTTTGTCTTTGGATAATTAGTTGTTTTTATTCGTTTCTTTACAAGAGAGGAAATATCATTTTATTTTGACATATAGTATTTTATAATTAATATTTCTGTATTGCTGTCATGTTCCTAAAATGTGAGAAGGAAGAAAAATTCAGTCATAAATTGAATTAAAATCATTAAAATGTCAAATTACACGTGACTTTTTTAAGGTTATGGTGTGAAAGACTCGAGCGCGAAGTTTGTTTATTTTTGAAAATGTAAATAATTTATTTGTATTTTAATGTAATTTTTGTTTGTTTGTATAAAAAATACATAACCTAATTTTTTTAAGTATATCAATAACAATATTGATTTATTCTTATTTATTAAATTATTAAATTTCATAAATTTTACTCATTTTCTGTAAACTTTTTTCCTGTGAAAATAAATAAAAAACATAATATTAATGTCAGTAAATTGTCAGGGAAATTGCTAATCTGAAACTTGTGACCACCTTGTTAGTAATATAATTTATTCAAATTAATTAAAAGTAATTTTATTAAAATTTATTCCAGATGTGGACTTGTTTTCGAAATAAAAAATCCCACCGCAAAAAACAATGTCCATTGAAGTGGCAAAAAGCACAAATTCATCAAAATGGGGATTATTTTTGGTCTCAGTGACAGGAGGTTTGGCAACAGTTTTAAGTGTAATTTGCATTCCGTTTGTGAGTCCAGCGTTGAGAAAAGTGTGCCTGCCTTATGTGCCAGCGACAACGAAGCAAGTGGAGAATATTTTCAAAGCCCTGTCAGGACGTAGAGGAACACTCATTGATCTTGGCAGTGGAGATGGTAGAATAGTTGTTGCAGCAGCAAAATCAGGTTTCAAAGCCTATGGTATTGAATTAAATCCATGTCTAATTGCTTATTCAAAAGTGCTGGCCCTCACTCAGGGTCTACGGTCAAATGCATCATTTTTTCGAGGCGATTTATTCAAATGTAACTTGGCCAGTTATAATAATGTCGTAATATTTGGAGTTTCACAAATGATGGCCGAAATAGAAGAGAAATTTAATAATGAACTAAATAAAAATAGTGTCGTTGTTGCTTGTCGTTTTCCATTGCCAAATTCAGTGCCAGTGTTGACAGTCGGCGAAGGAATCGATACAGTTTGGGTTTATAAAGTACCACTTAAAAGTATAGAATCGTAACATCTCTAGAAAATTATAAGGAATTTAACTATAAATATTCTGAACATTTGTACATAAATTCTTAATTTAAGAATTCGTAAATAATGAAAAAAGATTAATAAAATTGAGAAAATTGATTTTTTTTCTTATTTTATTTAAAAGGCCAAAGTGTGTTGAAAATTTTATACAGAAAATATTTACAAAATTTCAAGATAGAATGATTTATTAGGAGATTTTTATATTGTGACCAGTCTTCCAAGTGAGTCCATCTCCATAGGGACCGTGTGTCGATGGAAACAGTATGAACCACCAATTTCTAAACATTTTTAAGTTTTTTTCTTTTAAATTATCAATTTTTATTATTTGAAATTTAAATTTCTATTTTAATTTCAATTACAGTTAACTCTAGATAATTAAACTTTCGACAAAATTAAATTTCCCATTAAATTGAAGTTATTTCATGGTCTTTTGAATTTTTTCTATGTCCCTTGGGATTCAATTTATCGAGAGTCGACTGTAACAATATTTAATCAGCTATCATAAAATTATAACTTATAAATTATTTAATAAATAATTTTATTTAAATATTTCAAAATTAATTGAATTTTACATGAGTTTTTCATTAATTAGATTAGAATTTTCATAATCAGATAAACTTCAAAAGGTTTCAATTTAAATTTTACAAAATTTCAATTTCAAATGAATTTAATTAGAAAATTTAAAGAACTTAGTTAATATATTTAATATATATTTAATTATTTATTAAAAATAATGGATTTATAGAAGAATTTTAGTTAAAAACAATGGGAAAAATTTAATTTTGAAGAAGTTACAAATTGCAGAAATTCAATTATCATTTTCAAAAGTAATAAAATTCTTCTTAGAATTTCAATTATTTTTAATACAATTTTTATCGAATTCCTTGAATAATGCAGTTATTCTTAAAAATTTTATTAAAATTCGTCGAAAGAATTCAATAATTTCAAATTTGTTGATAAAATTCTTTATAAAATTTCAATTTTGAGAAACATTTAAATATTCAATAGATTATTAAATAATTTTGTATTTAAATAATTGAATTCTCGTAGAATCTTTTAATAAAACTTGATTAACAAATTCTACTCCAAAATCTAATTATTTTCAAAAACATTTTAAACATTTTTGGCAAAATTTAAAATATTTTCAAAAATTTTCGTCAATTTAATGATTTCAATATCTACTATTTTAAAAAAAATTCACAGACATTCAATTTATTTTAATTCAATTTTAATTAAATTCCTTGAAATAATTAAATTATATTCAAAAATTTTTAATAAAATATTCATCGACAAAATTCAATTATTTTCAAAAATAGCAAAATTGTTTCTCAGGAATTCAAATATTTAAAAAAAAATCAATATGTTTCTGTCCAAAAATTCAATTATTTTCATAAATTCTAAAATTCTTCGTAGGATTTCAATTTTTTTCAAAACAATTTTAATTATAATCCTCAAAAAATGTAATTATTTAAAAAAAAAATTGTTTAATTCTTAAAAAAATTCAATGATTTTAAAAAGTGTTATTAAATTTCTTCTAAACAATTTAATTATTTTCAAAAATGTTGATAAAATTTTTTATTCAATTTTAGAAAAAATATTTAATTATTCTATCAATTTTTTCGTTCTGCATATAAATAATTGAATTCTCAAACAATTTTCTAATAAGTATTTAGGACTTCATTTATTTTCATAAATAATAAAATTCATTGCACAATTTTAATGATTTTTAATACAATTTAAATTGAATTCCTTGAAAAATGTAATTATTTTTAAAATTTTTATTAAAATTCTTCGAATGAATTCAATTATTCAATAAATTATGTATTATTGTATTTACATTGTAATTGAATTCTCGTAGAAATTTTAAATGAAAATTGATTTAAAAACTAATTTTAGTTAAAAGTTTAGATAATAATTGAATAGTAGAAGCATTATAGGATGAATTTTTAGAAATAATTGAATTTTGAAAAGATTTCAAATTAAAATCTACTAGACGTGTAAGATTATAGTTTCTTGTCAAGTCAATTATTAAATTAAATTAAATTAAATTAAATAATTGACTTGATAAAAAACTATAATACTAGGTTTCAGTGTCTAATAATTTTTAGAGTGAGTCGGAATATTCTTTAGGTTCAGAAAAAAAGTCAAAATTTTATCTAAAAAAGTAGGGAAAAAAGAAAATTAAATTTTTCTGGAAACCCAGTAAATGAAACGTACCTGCCGTTTAATCCTAAGAATTGTCGCCAATTTTCCCTCGATCCAAGATCATAAGGATTTCGATACTTTCGCCCAAGGGATTTATATTTTTTTTGCTCGGAGCGATTAATATGTGACTCAATACTTGTTTCTCCTTGTGAAATGAGACCCGCGTGCCACCAGGTTAAAGCTCCAAGAGCAGCAAGCGTCGCGACACAAATTAATGCAGCGAAAATAATTAATTTCCTTCTGAATTCACCTATCGCTCTTGCAGCCGCTTGTTGGGCTATTTTATCCTTTTCTTCTTGCGTCATATGGTCCATAGATTCCATCTTATAAAAATAATTGCATTCGGAGTTAAATTTTTCGATTTTGTAAATTTAAAAATTCAATTTTTTTTAAAAAAATTAAGGTTTCTTGAAAAATACCAAAAGTAAATTAAAAAAAAAAATTCAAGAAAAGGAAATAAATTTTATAATCGTAAATATTTAATTTGAGCAAACGAATATTGAAATTCGAAGAAAGGGGTAATAGATTTTAAAGTAGAAAAAAATAGAACTTACCACAGGTATTATAACTGAATTATTAATTCGAACCGGATGTCCGTCTAATTCTGGATCCTCGGGGAAGAATTCTTCGTACGCTATTTCTAATCCGAAGACCATTATAAAAAGAACGCCGATCACAGTAAATGCCATGTATTGGAAGAAATGTCGATGATTATAGTGTCCTACGCAATTATTTAACCAGGCTGTTCATTTTTTTTTTTTTTTTTTTTTTTTTTTGTAAGGAAAATAGTTGGAAAATATAAATAAAAAATAAAAATAGTGAAAGTTTAATATTAGTTTAGTAAGGATACGACAGTGATGATCCATTTTGAGAACGCATTTATTGCAAACGGAGCAGTGATGCGTCCTTGGTGGCTTTGGTTTAATACATTTTTTGCAAATACTGACGGCTTCTGGAATTAAACCTCCTTGAGGTGGATAACCTGCCGGTACTTTAACTCCCATGTAATAGTGAAAGGAAACGTTTATTAGCAACCAATTTCCAAAGATAAGGAGAAAAATTGTTGTTATTGGACTTTTGTCCCACCAATATGGCAGTCCGATCCAATAGGCTATGAATACTATAAACACCTTTAAGAAGCTCACTATCGTCACAAATACCTGGAAAAATTCAAGAGAACTAATTAGAATTTGGTTCAATTTTTCATTCGATTTTCACTCGTTCATTTCATTCAAAATTCTTAGTTTCCATAAAAGAATGATTTTTCATTTCATACAAATTTTTCTCTTAAAGAGAAATCGAAATTAGAATTTCAATTAAAAGTAGAATAGAATAATTAATTTAATATAATTTGAATTAAAAATCGAATTTGAATTCGAAACAAAATTAAAAAACGAATTGGAATTAGAAATTAAACTAATATTTTAATAAAATTTTTTTAAGGAATTCAATAATTTAAAAAAAATTTTTAATATAATTCCACGCAATTATTTCATTATTTTCACAATTCAATTATTTTTTAAATAGTAAAAACATTACAAAAATTGAGGGGACGGCTTCTAAAAGGGGATACGCGTGGATTCTCACGTATAAGTATTGACGAATAGTGTGATTTTAAAACATTTTCAATTTTCAAATTCAATGAAATAAATTTATACACAATGAAAATGCGCATCTTTTTTTTTTAAGAAATAAATTTATATCTTTTTTAGTTTATGAAATAATGAGAAAAAACTAAATTTTTGAAAACCAAAAAATTTAAATGTTTTACGTCTTTAACTCGTGCTGGTGTTTTTGATTTTCCATATTTTGTAATCAAACAAAAACAAACTCACAGATTAAGGTTTCCTGAAACCAACTATATTTTTAAAACTTCAAAATCTTAATTAATAAAAAGTTTATTAATTTTTTCGAAAGACATTGCAAAAAATGTTTTTTTTTCAACTTTCAACGCTTCGTTTATCTAGGAAATTTCAAGGTACGAAAAACTTTCAGTGAGAAAGTTTTTTATTACGATACGGACAAGTTTTCTCTAAAATTTTATTAAAATGATATGGATATTTACAAAGTTATTAATGTTTAAAGCATATGGTACGTCAGATTTCTCGCGCCTGGAACGCATTGAGTCCCAAATTGTTCGTTTGCAACGCGTTAAAAATATTTTGTCAATATATATAATAAAATTTATTGAAATTTATTTTTAACCTAAATATTTTATTTTGTTATATGTACAAAAGTCAACTAAAATAATATTTCTTATTTTTAAGTTTCTTATTTCATTTAGTTCAAGGTTTCCACTCTTCGTAAAACTGATCTCGTTTACTACATTTAATGTTTTTAAAATAATTATTAAAAAACTCCTGTCCGTTTGGAGAAAGATATCGATTTCCTTAATTGTGATAAAAAAATCTCGAAATCCTGGGAAAATTGTATTGGGTTTTACCGAACCCTTTTTTTTGCAGTCAACGGTCGCGGCAACCGCGACTCATCTGGACACCATATTTTTCCGTAGAGTGAAAACAAATGACAACTTTGAGAAAAATAGCATATAAAAAAGGGTTACTTCCTTGAAGTGCACATGATAACAAAAAAAAATCTATTGTATGAAAATGTTTGCCAAAATACAGATATAAATAAAATAAAATTTGTTTTAACTTCAAGTATTAAATACAATATGGAATTATTGTACAATTTATTTTGCGAATAATTCTGCAATATTTTTTTAAAAATAATTTCATATATCTTTACGTACAATACATGTTAGAATAAATAAACTGATGCTACTGTTATATAAAGTTAGATGAATCGTCATAATCCATAGTTAAATATTATTTAAAAATAATTACTTTGATATTAAAAAACCAGTCAAAAATTAAAATAATAATATTTTTACTATTCTTAATAAACTTTTATTAGTTAAATTAACATTACATTTATGTCAAAATAACTGTGTACTAATTATTTGTATGTCAGTAAATTTTAACTATTTCCAGACGATTTTGGCTAATTATTATTGGTTAATTCTTAATAATAATAATATTGCAAAAATTTATAATAATAATAATATAATAATATAATAATAATAATAATAATATTGCAAAAATTTATCAGTGACTTTAATAAAAATTGTATTTATTTTAAGTAAACAAATGAATAAACTAAAATAGTCTTAATATGTTCCATGCAAACGAACAATTCGGTACTCAATGCGTTCCAGGCGCAAGAAATCTGACGCACCATACGCTTTAAACATTAATAACTTTGTAAATATCCATATCATTTTAATAAAATTTTAGAAAAAACTTGTCCGTATCGTAATAAAAAACTTTCTCACTGAAAGTTTTTCGTACCTTGAAATTTCCTAGATAAACGAAGCGTTGAAAGTTGAAAAAAAACATTTTTTGCAATGTCTTTCGAAAAAATTAATAAACTTTTTATTAATTAAGATTTTGAAGTTTTAAAAATATAGTTGGTTTCAGGAAACCTTAATCTGTGAGTTTGTTTTTGTTTGATTACAAAATATGAAAAATCAAAAACACCAGCACGAGTTAAAGACGTAAAACATTTAAATTTTTTGGTTTTCAAAAATTTAGTTTTTTCTCATTATTTCATAAACTAAAAAAGATATAAATTTATTTCTTAAAGAAAAAAGATGCGCCTTTCCATTTTCCACAAACTTCGGTAATTCAAATTGCAATTTGTAATACTTTCAAAAATTGACCAAGTGGACAAAACTTAAACGCGAGAATCCACGCGTATCCCCTTTTAGAAGCCGTCCCCTCAATTCAATAATTTTCAAAAAAATTTCAAGAAATAAATCAATTATTTTCTTAATCTGTTATAAAATTTTTCAAAATAATTCAATTATTTTCTAAAATTATAAAAAAAAATCCTTCAAAACAATTCAATTTTTTAAAATTTTTAATAAAACTTTTCGAAATAATTCAATATTTTAATAAAATTCTTTAAATTAATTAAATTATTTTAGAAAATTGTAATAAAATTCTGAGAAGAATTTAATAATTTTCTAAAAATTTGAATATAATTCAATAATTAAATTGTTTAATTTCAATTATTAAGAAACACGAATATTTTAAAAACTTCAAAGAAATTGTTGATAAAATTCAATTACTGTTAAAATTTTTAATTAAAATTATTAAAGAAACTCCATCAATTAAAAAAAAATTGAAAGATATTCTTCAAAAGAATTTAATTAGGATTTTCAAAAGATTTAATAAAATTCTTGTCAAGAATTTAATTATTTTCATAAATAATAAAATTCTTCGGAGAAATTCAATTATTCTCAAATTTTTTGATAAAATTCTTCGCAATAATTCCATTATTTTCACAAATAATAAAATTCTTCTCAAAAATTAATTATTTTTATAAATAAGAAAATTTTTACGGAAATTTAATTATTTTAAATTCAATTTTAATTCAATTTTTTTAAATAACTGAATTATTTTTCAAAATTTTTAATAAAAAATTCTTCGACAAAATTCAATTATTTTCATAAATTCTAAAATTCTTCGCAGGATTTTAATTTTTTTCAATACAATTTTAATATTGTAAACCTCAAAAAATTCAATTATTTAAAAAATTTTTTTAATTCTTAAAAAAAAATTCAATGATTTTAAAAAATGTTAATAAATTTCTTCTAAAGAATTATTTAATTTCAAAAATTTTGATAAAATTCTTTATGAGAATTCAATTTTAAAAATATTTGATTATTCTATCAATTTTTTTCGTTCTGTATTTAAATAATTGAAATCTTAAACAATATTCTAATAAGTAGTTATAGGAATTCAATTATTTTCATAAATAATAAAATTCATTGCAGAATTTCAATGATTTTTAATACAATTTAAATTAAATTCATCGAAAAATGTAATTTTTCTTAAAAATTTTATTAAAATTCTTCGAATTTTTTAATTAAAAATCGAATTTAAATTAGAAATTGAACTATGATTAGAAATAGAATTAGAATTAAAAATTGAATTTGAATTCGTAATATAGGTAATTAGAAATCGAATTTGAATTAGAAATTGAACTATGATTAGAAATAGAATAAGAATTATAAATCGAAATATAATTAAAAATCGAATTTAATTAAATTATGATTAGAAATTATATTAGAATTGAAAATCGAATTTTAATTAGAAATTGAATTTGAATAAAAATCGAAATTGAATTAGGATTAGGAATTGAATTAGTATTAAAAATTGAAATTGAACTAGAATGAATTAGAATAATATTTGTATGCGACGAAATTAATTACTCACTGGACCGAGAGAAGATGTAAAGTTTTCCACAAACCAAAATATTGGTTCAAGTAAAATATCACAAACATAGCTCCAACTTAAAAAGTCATTATAAAAGAGAGACTTAACGATTATAAGAAGACGTCTATACCTTTCTTTGATATTCAACCTATAGAGAAAATAATCCAAATTAAAAAATTATTATAAGTTTGTAACAAAAAAAGTATATTTAGAGATCGAAAAAATTACCATTCGTAGCAAGAGACTCTTTTGAAGAACCATTTGATTCTTGACATTTTTAAATGAAATAATCGAAAACACCTACTTATGTAATTCCTCATAATTTCCGATTATTAAATTGTGCGATATTTTTAACGAAGCATTCTCAGGAAGTATATAATTAAGTAATTTCTAATTGTACTTGAGAAGTCAGACAAATAGAAGTTAACCTCAAAAAGCATTGTGTTTATTTAATTCGATATGGAAATAGAAGCAAATACTTTCGATGTAATCCTAAAGTGGCAATTTTATCTTTGTACTCTTAATAGTCATACTTTTTATTCAGATATAACGTTATTTTGTTTGTTTTAAAAAAGACTTTGACACAAAAACAACATTTATAAAAAATTTTTTGACAGCTGCCGATGGCTGCCGACCAGCAGACGGCAAGGAAGTGTGGAAGTGATCGGAAGTGATTTAAATACTACGTGCGTCAAATTCATTACTTTTTGAATTTTTCGATTTGGTATAATTTATACATAATTACCTATATCAAAATATTTTAAATCTTTTAAATCAAGGTAATTCTTGTTTTAATACTTTTTATATTTTATCAGTGAATTTAATTTTCTCTATCCGTATATTAATTTTTTATTTATTATTCATTTTGAATTTAAATTTGGATGTTGTATTGACAAAGGAAGTCAAAATTCAAAATTATTTTTTCAAAATTATATTCAAAATTTTTTCAGCAAAATTCAATTGTATTTAACTTTAATTTTGTTTTTAGGTGGAAAGGTTTTAGAATAAAATAATAATATTTGAGTAATAATATAATTTAATCAATCTATCATTATAATATATTTAAATACAATATATTTTATAATACTCGAGGTACAGGAAAATCACACAAGGTTTTAGCGTTTCATTTCGTTCAATAAGTTTTCTTTTTTCTATATTTGAATTAGTTTCAAATCAATAGTAAAATAAATTAAAGAAATTGTAATTAAGTTTTTCATAATTTTTAAAAATAATTTGTTTCTTATAATTTTTAAAAATAATTTGTTTTTCATAATTTTTGAAAATAATTTGTTTCTAAACAATTTTTCTTTAAATATTTAAAGTTTTTAATATTCTTTCTTTAAAATCTGAAATTGTTTCAACAGTTTGTTAAATTCTTTAGCACATTCAACTTTTGTTAAATAGTTTCAAAACAATAGGTATTTTGTTATAATATTAGTGTCATTGCCAAAATATCTTTAGAATATTTTTTTTATATACTTAGTAACGGATTTATTTTTCCGTTTTCTATGAAAATTTGTAGATTATCATTTTCATTTTTTGCATTTAGACATAAAATTTCCTGTCAAAATACAACAGTGTATACTTTATATTTAAATACATATAAAATTTGTATGAATAAAAAAAAATCAAGATAAATAAAACAAAAATTTGGCAATGACCATTTAATTTATGGAATATTTGGCAAAAATTTGAAAGACATTTTTTATGGCATACGAGCCAGTGATGTAGTAATAACTATTTACTTAAAACCTCAAAAGTTAATTATACCTGACGATTGGAAAAAAAAGTTTTCAAGTACAAATACTTTATAATGTTCTTTTTAATTTTTAAATAAAATATTTATTTTACTTAAAATTTACTTTTTCTAAAAATATTTATTTAGTTTCAATATAATTTTTAAATATTTAACATTTTAAATACTTGAAATAATTTTAAATTCAAAACAATTTTTTTATACTGTGACTCTAAAAAATTACCCTGTTCAGATTCCGAACTACATCACTGACAATACTTTGTTTCATTTTTTTTTTCTTTAATATCTCAGGAAAATATTTCTCAATCTTTTTTTTTTTTGTATATAGTTATTTATCTTTTATATAGTATATCTTTTTAAATATTTTTTTTTGTCGTAAAGAGACAAGAGTCTCGTCAAATTCTTCTATCAGCAAATATAGCATTTTATCGTGTAACGAAAAGCATTTTTGAAAGACTTGGGTGGGTAAAAGGTACGTACATATTTACAAAAAGGCGTAAAAAAATATTTTACGAATTCATTTTGAAAATTTATTCTTAAAATTCTTGTTTTTAAAGAAAGCTTTCTTTTTTCAATTTGTCGCAGATTTTCAAAATATGACAACATTTTTACAAAGAAACTTTTTTATGTAATAAGCTTTTCTTTTCATTTTTTTTTCCAAATTAAACTGAAAATAAATTTATCTAAATTAATTATTCCTATTCTATTCTAAACGAATAGGACAAAAATAAATAATTTGGCAAATGAATAAATTTACGTGAATGTAATTTAAATAATTTGAAAAATTAATTAAAATCCTTCAAAAAAACTTGTAATATTAATAATTAAATTTAACGATCAATTTTCGTCTTGGCAATAATTGAAAACCGTTTACTATTTTAAGTAGAATAAATTTTTCATTCTATTGTTAAATATTTCATAACATCAACAAGTTTGTATCGCGTTAAAAATTGATTTTAAACGTGAAAAAGTTTGTATTTCTCATGAAAGACACAGTAGTTAATTTTTATAATATTGTACATCGAATATTAGAAAAATGAATAATTTTATTTTAAATCTTATTTTTTTTATTGCAATAATTATAGATTTTCGAAATTTCAAAAATTTCAATCTCATTGAAATTATTTAATTTCATTGAATTATTTTCTTAATCTTTCTAATTAATTAAGATTATTCTTTAAGATAGAGTTTTTTTTCATTAGATAGAGTTTTGAAGTATTATTAGAATTTTTTCAAAGAACTATTTTTTTAAAGAGTAAAATGAATATAATATATTATTAGCATGTGGAAATTCAGTAAATTTGATTATTAGAATTCGGAAAATTGAAAATAATTTTTTTTCTGTATAGTATTCGTAAATAATCTTTTAACGCCTTATTTATATTTTTTACTTAAAGGAGAATGGGAATTAGAATTGTGATTTTTAATTCACGATAATGAGTAAAGTTCTCATAAGACTGTGTCGAGAGTGTCCAAGCTTTGAAGAAGATGCTCGTCTTTAGAACACCACTGGACCAATTCCTCGATTGTTACAACTCCATCTTTGTTTGTGTCCATTTGCTGAAATATTTATTTTATTATTATTATTATTATTATTATTATTATTATTATTATTATTATTATTATTATTATTATTATTATTATTATTATTATTATTATTATTAAATTGTTAATTTAATTTATTTATTTAATTTCAACCGGCTTACTAAATAAAAATGAAATTAAAAATATTTTTACCAAAAAAAGTCTTGCAAAAAAATAAGCGATACTATTTTACTTCTTTTATTTTATATTTTTTTGTACAAAAAATTAATTCTTGAATAAGTAAATTTAATTTTCATTAATTTTCCTCTAATTATTTTTATTATTCTCAATTATTTTTTTTAAAGCATTTTTTTCTATACTAATTTTTAAAAATATTTCCAAAAAAATTTCGTTTATTTGAAAGTTCGAAACTTTGGGAAAATCAAAAATAGAAAAAATAGAAAATCAATTTAAAAGTAAAATAAATAAAATTAAATTTCTATCAGAATTAATTTTCTTTTCACCTCTTTTTTCTTAGAGGGGGAAATAAATTTATTTGTTTAATTTTCTGTTTTCATTTTTTTTCGGCAATGTTGTGATTAAGTTTCTTACGTGAAATATTCGTTCGACATGCTCTCGTGCTGCAACTTGTGGCTCAGCAATTTGGGGTTGCGTGTAACGACCAAGCATCTCATAAATTGATTCCACGACGTCCAGCATCTCTTCTTTACTGATTAGTCCATCGCCATCCAAATCATAAAGTCCGAACACCCATTGGAGTTTCTCTTCCACTGAGCCCCTTGACACCTTCGAAAGGATCGCTAAAAATTCCTGGAAGTACAAAAAATAATTTTATAATAATAATCACTAAAAAAAAATGTTTCTAAAAGAAAATTGAAAAAGTTAAGTAATCTAAAAAAAAGCTCGTCTAATAAAAAAATTAATCGACAAAAGAAGCTAATCTAAAAAAGCCGAACTAAAAAAGTTGATCGAATAAAAAAAATCTAATTAAAAAAAAGTAAATAAAGTAAATCAAAAATGAAAATAATAAATAAATAAATAAAATCTAATAAAAAAAAATCTAAAAAGAAAAAAAATTGACAAATAAAAATAAATAAATAAAAAATCTAATATAACAAAAATATAAAAAGAAAAAAAATAACTGCCAAATAAAAATAAATAATCTAATAACAAAAATCTAAAAAGAAAAAAAAAGTAACTGACAAATAAAAATGAATAAATAAAAAATAAGAAATCTAAAAAGAAAGAAAAATTGACAAATAAAAATAAATAAATAAAAAATAAAAAAATCTAATAAAAAAACCTAATAAAAAATTCTAAAAAGAAAATACTTAAAAAGAACAATTATAAAAAAGAAATGAATAATGAAATTAATAAACAATTGAAAAAATGTAAAAATACTTTCACAATCTTTGAAGTTGATTTTAATAAAAAATAATCCGCTTAAATTCGGTTATAAAATTTTCAATCAATTCGGATATTAATTTTAGTTATAAAACTATTTTATGTAGTTAAAAGTATGATTAAATTTCCAGGGCGATAAATTTATATATAGTTTTTCCTCTCCTCTATTTGAAAGAATACTTACTTCAAAACTAATTTTGCCAGATTGTTTCCTCTTCATAGTGTTGAAGACGTAATGAGCGTATTGACTGGCATCTGAATCAAAGAGATAAAAAGTTTAATTGCTTTCCTCTAAATTCAAAGAAATTAAATTATACTATTTTGTCAATAAACTTAATCACCAATGTCAATCACTGATGACTAAAGAGAGTAAATACCGATAAATTTAGAAATAGATTTTAATAAAAGAACTTTAATTTCTTTTTTTTGGACACTAAATATATATATTAAAACAAATTTAATTGATTTATATAACCGATTATTTGTTTAAATATTTAGTTGTATCGAATAATTTTTACTGAAGTCACAATAATTAAATTTGTTACAAAATTTTTATTTGCTTCAAATACTAAAATTGGTTGGTCAAATATAATTTATAATAAGTCAATAACTTATTATTGTTTAAAATAGAAGTTATTTGATTTCAATAAAAATTGTTTGATTGAAGTAAATATTTATTTAATAATAGATAAGTAATAATCGGTTATTTCAATCAAATAAATTATTTTTTCGGTGTAAATAAAAAAGATAATTTAAAACAAAAACGAGAAGCAATAGAAAAAAAATTTAGCGAATAAATAAATAAAGTAAATTACAATAATTGTAATTAATAAATTAAACCTAATTAAAAGATTGAGACTAAAAATTCTTTTTTACTTTTTTTAAAAAAATTAAGACTTAAAAAATTATTAACTAAATAGAATAAAAATATCGAAGAAATTTAATTAAAATAAGCAAATACAAATGAAATATGTCTAAAAACATAAAAAATGGGAAAAGTAAAAATTGAAAAAGAATAAAATTTCGAGAAGAATGAAAAGTCAAAAAGAAAAGAAACAATTGAGTGGAAAGAAAGCAAAAAATGTAATTGAATGGAGAACTGAAAAATTTCTCTCTAAAAAAAAGAAAGAAAAACTGTTAAATGTTCGGTTTTTATTGTTTCTCGTTTTTTTTTATGAAAAAAAGCTTTGAAGTGCTTATCTGTATGAAAAGCATTGAAATAACAGTGAATTGTCACTTCAAAATTATTCTTCTATTATTTACTGAATTGTTTAGTATATAAAAGGCGAACACAAAACATTCGATTTTTCTCCATTTAAAACCGCAGTTTTGTATTTTCTATCTTTCCAGTTTCCATTAAAAACTAGTGTCCTGACACGGTAAAAAGGGACCTTACGCCAAAAAAATCGATTTTAATATTTCCTCACTAATCAATTTTAATTTTTTTTTACACCAATCGATTGTTTTTAATATTATTTTATTTCCAAAATTAATAATTTTTTTTAAACTAAAAATGTAAATATTACAGCAGTTTTACAACAATAGAAATTTCCGAAGATTTTAATATAAAAATCTTATTTAATTATTTCTATAAGAATTCATTCTATGTTTCTAATAAAATATTCAATTGAATTCCTTAGAAGAATTTTAAAAAAATTTTTAAGAATAACTGAATTTTTCGAGAAATTCTTGTGAAGAATTTTATTATTTGTAATTATAACTGAATTCTTGGAAAGAATTTTTTTAAAAATTCTCTCAATACCTAATTGAATTCTGTGAAAATAATTAAATTCTTGTAAAGAATATTATAAAATTTTTTTTAAAGAAATGGTTTTTTGAAAAAATTGTATTTTTTAAAATTGTAATATTGTTTCGTTTGAGAATTTTATTATTTTTGAAAATATTTAAATGTTTGCGAAGAATTTTATCAGAAAAATTTTTTAAATTATTGAATTCTTTTGAAAATTTTTATAAAATAGCAGATATCGAAACTAATTGAATTTCGTGAAATTTTTGAAATTAAATGAATCGTTTCAAAGAATTTTATTAATTTTTTTTTTAAATAATTGAATTCTTTCGAAGAATTTTAATAGAATTAAAAAAAAAAAATTGAATTCAAGTGAAAATTTGTATTTGTGAAAATAATTGAATTCTTGCAAAGAATTTAAAAAAAATTATTTAAATATTTATTTTTCGTAAAATTTTCTGAAAATTGTGTAATTGAATTTCTTTGAAAATCTTATTATTACTTTTGAAAATAATTGAATGTTTGCGAAGAATTTCATCAAAAAATTGTTTTAAATAATTGAATTCTTTTAGAAATTTTTATAAAAATAGTAGATATTGAAACTAATTGAATTTCGTGAAATTTTTGAAAATAATTGAATCGTTTAAAGAATTTTATGAAAATTTTTTGATTTGTTGTTCACTAAGTGTAGATTTTAAAATTAAATAATTTTTACGAGAAAAAAAAAGTGTAAAAATATTTTCTGACCGGTTCCACTCGGAAAATTACTATAAAAAAAATAATGTTAAGAAATATTGAATTATTTTCTTGATATAGTTAAAAATATCCTTGAACTGTCCCCTTAAAAATTGAAAAGAAGACAATCTCTAATGTTTGTCATTCTAGTAAAATTCTACAAAACTTTTTTGTCTGGTTGGTTTTTTTCCTGTGAAATTTACTTTCGATGCGTTAAGTCCCTTTTTCTCCTCGTCAAATTATCTGAATAAATTATTATTATTATTGACATTATTTTTTTTCTATTTACTTGCCACGATATTCGTATACCTGAAAGTATAGAGAATTAATTTTTTTGTTATTTTTCAGTTGAAAAAAAAATAATTATAATGAAACAACATACTCACCGCCCTGGGGAAAGAATTGAGAGAATATTTTCTTGAAGGCCTCCTCATCGACAAGTCCAGTTGGGCACTCCTGCTTGAAGCCCCGATAAATCAATTGGATCTCCTTTCTTGTGAACCTCGTGGTGGCAGCAAGGGTGGCCAATTCCTCTGGCCTGTGACGACCCCCAAGCGTTAAGGCCCCCCCAGAACCCCCTAAAACGCCCCCGAGATCTTCAAGTTCAGCCTCTGCAAGATTCAATGCCCTTATCTCCTACGACTGTATTACTCGTTCGAGATGCTCTTTTTCTCAGGTAACCAGTCTAGACGTGCACATGGATGCCACAATTTTTAAATATTCTAAACAATCCTTTTTCAAATCCTCAACCAAAAATAAATACTTTTTATAATATTCAGAGCAAAATTATACTATATATATTTAACAACAGATTCCAGAAGGCAGAGAGAGAGAAAGAGATGGGAAGATTTGAAGCTTTCCAGAACGAGATTTATTTTCTACTTTATTTTTAAATTTTACCTTTTTCTACAATACTGTAAAATAATAATCTTTTCTTGACCTTTAAGTATTTTATTTATTTTAATTAATTTTATTCAAGTATTTATTTGATTGATTTATTTATTTTATTCATTTTATCTAATTTTATTTATTTCACTTTATTTTATTTTGCTTTTAAGTACTTTATGTAATAAATATTCAATTAACTTTTTCCTCTCTCATTTAATTATTTCTTATTGTACATTTTACAATATTGTTGGTAAAGATTTTCAAAAAGAAAATAAAGAAACAAGATTTAAAAAAAATTTAGAATAAATTTTTTCTTTTTACCAAATATTATTCGAATAAATTTAATAAATATTGTAAAAGAGAAAAAAAAACAAAACTTTGAGAATAAAAATGAAGAAGTAAAATATAAAATCAAATATAATAAGAAAAATAAAAAGAAAAGAAAGTTGAACATTATTTTACAGATACGAATTAATTAGAAAAATCCTCGAGAATTTTCGTTTGATTTTCAAATATTGAATGTATATTTCAATACAAAATTAAAATAGATAAATAAATTTTAAATTAATATAAATAAATATAAGTTATATTTGTATATTTACTAAATTTTATTTTACAATTGTCTTTTTACCAAAATGTTATTCAAATAAATTTAACAAATAGAAAAATTGAAATCGTACAATAATTTGAGAGTGAAAATATAGAAGAAATAAAATATAAAATAAAGTATAAAATAAAATATAAAATAAAACATAAAATAAAATGAAAAATAATAAAGAAAAATAAAGAAAAAAGAATTGAAAATTATTTTACAAATAAGCGAATTAATTTCCAGTATACTATAAATTTAACCACCCTGCGATAATATAATTGACACAGGATCAATTTTAAAAAATAAAAATAAAGTAGAAAATCCCTCGAGAATATTCACTTGATGCTTTATCAAATATCAAATATCAAATGTACTTGTCTGTATATAAATTTTATCAAATATATGATAGTCATCAAATATTGATTTTCTGGTTGGCTGAAAAGAATGAGAAAAGCTACGAAATAACTCGGTGCTCAAGAGGAGAAGTCATTAAAAGGAGATTTTAATGGAGATTTTTCGAGATATATTTTAAGAGTAATGTCTTCAATCAATTATAATGTCATTCACATGTCAATAATGCATTTTATGTATAGAGAGAAAGAAAGAGAGAGAGAGAGATTGGAAATTGTGAATAAAATCGCAGCTACGGAAAGTGGAAAGGTTTTTTTTTCATATTTGAAAAAATACATTACAGGTCTATTTTTAGAAAAATCGTGCGCTAATAATATTTTTTATCAGTGCCAAAGGGAAAAAGAAATAGTTTCTAATTTAAAAGTGAAATTAAGAGAGGAACAGAGATAGAGAGCAATAAAGATAGAAAAAAAATAGATTTTGAAAAAATCTGAATTATAATTTTTAAAAATATTAATTGTGTAATTAGTAATACAGGGTTGCCACAAAAATTTGATTTTGTTTTTTCCTAACTTTTCTATAATTTTCAAACGGAATTTTGCCTTTTTCCCCGATTCAATTTTCAATTTTTAAACGCAAAAATTTAATTTTTTTAAATTTTTTATATTTTATGTATTTAGAATTTAGAATATTTCTTTCTTTGCATTTTTATTTAATTAAAGTAATTGAAAGTATTTATTTTCCCCCTACTTTTGGTAAAATTCCCTGATTTCTCTGATCAATTTCATTTTTCCTGACCTATGGCAACCCTGTAATAATAATTATTATTAATTATATTATTAGTAATTAGAATAATATTAGAATAATTATTTTTCATTTAGTAAAATTAGTATAAAATATAGAAAAAAGAAAAAAATAAAATTCATCTTCATCTGCTATAAGAAATTTTTCAACTTACAAAATCTCTATAAATTTATTCCAATTATTTTTTGTTGTAATAAATAAAGCAAATTTTTTTCAAGAACTTTTCAGAAAATTTTAAATAAAGGCGTTTTTTCTCCTAATATAAAAAATTAAGTCACGAATAAATAAAATTCTCCACTGTCAGTAGAAATACTCCGAGTATTGTCAGACAACGATTTAAATTCAACGAGGGAATCTCTTTATTTTATGTCCTCAGTAGTAGTGATCCGTATATTAAAAAATTCGTACGTTATTTATTAGCTCCTTTACTCCTCCCGCTATTTCCACTTAATATAAATTCTCTCCAAAAGAAATTTTTCCGAATGTCTATCAATATATTAAAAAAAAATTCTCTCTTTTCAGCAAAGGAAGAAAAATCTCATCATCAAAACGAATCGCTGACTCATCAGGAAAAGTTCTCCAAAAGAAATAAATTCTGCAAAAAATTAAAATTAAAAATTAATATTAAAAATAAAAATTAAACATTAATATTAAAAAATTAAATTGAAAATTAAAAAATTACAGTTTTCAAAAACTATTTTCTCTAAAAGAAAATCCTATCGAAATTCGGCAAGGAAAAAAAATCTCATCATCAAAGCGAATCGCTGATTCATCAGGAAAAATTCTCATAAAGAAAAAAATTCTGCAAAAAATTAAAAATTTTAAATTAAAAATTAAAAATTAAATTAAAAATTAAAATTACAAAATTACAATTTCGAAAAATGTCCTCTCTAATTGAAAATCCAATCGAAAATTTCCAAGTGAAATAAATTTAGTCACGATTCTCGAAATACTTGAGAGAAAACGACGTAAGTTCCTGAGGAGAATGAATTATATCAGACGACGAGTCAAGGGAAATTAATGGACCGATCCATTAGAGTCTGGAGCAGATGAACTATCAGAAGGTCAGTTATACGCGCGCTCTTAAAAATAATTAATCAAGAATGAGAGAAAATCAATTTTTGCAAATAGAAAGTGATTCGGAAAAATTTCATCTCTATTTTTCTTTTTTTTTTCTTTTTCTTTTGGATCAATGAGAAGAAAAGAAAAAGCAAGCGAGAACACGTGGTTGTAAGAATTGTACGCGTGTGCGAGAAAGAAAGAAGAATAGGCATTCACAATACAGAAACTCCGCAGCAAAGCTCTCTCCGATCCCGGGCATCCGGGGTCACCATAGCAACCCCCGAGACCTCCTTTCCAATTGTACAATATACCACACTTTATGCAATCTAACGACATACCCTAAAAACCTACCCCAAAGACTCTCCTTACCCGTTAATTTGTCGAAATGTGTAAATTATTATTCAACGCGCGAGAAAGAAAAGCGTACTCCATTTGCGCCCAGCGTTTGTATATCAAACTTTCTTTTCAGTTGGCTGAACAAAATATATCAAGTGTATGATTTTCTCGTCTCCTTGGAAGAGGGAAAAATTTATTTGTTTTTTTATTTTTACATTTTTTACTGCATTTTATTTCAATATTCTTCAAAATTAAACCAATTTTTCCAACCATTTTTTAAGGAAAGAATTTTTATATAGTGAAAAATTCCTGGAGAAAAAAATTTCATAATGATGAAAGTTTGGAAAAATTATTTCTGGTTAAATGTTTGTGAGAATTATTTAAATAGATAAATATTTACAGAAATATATTTTTTAAGTATTCAAACAATTTTAGAAGAAAACTAATTTTTCAACTATTTTTTAAGGAAAGAATTTTGTAGTAAAAAATTGTCAGAGAAAAATATTTCAATGATGAAAGTTTGGAAAAATTATTTCTAGTTAAGTGTTTCCGAGAATTATTTAAATAGATAAATATTTACAGAAATATATTTTTTAAGTATTCAAACAATTTAAGAAGAAAACTATTTAAATAGTTACTTCATAGAAAAAATATGTAAATAGTTTTACAAAATAGTATTTTTACTTTTTTTTTCTTTTTATAAATAGTGTTTCTTTTTTTAATCAACAGAAAAAGTATGAAAACAGCAAAATATTTACAGGAAAATTGTTTAAATAATTAAATATTTGTAGAAAAATATTTTGAATTATGTAAATAAATAAATAGTTTTGTAAAAAAAAATATCTGAACAGTTAGAAATTTAAAGCAAAAATATTTCAATATCGGCGAATTTACAGAAAAAATATTCAAATATTCAAAAATCTGGACAGAAAAAATTTTGAAATTCTCTATATTTTTATATTTACTAAATTTTATTTTACAATTGTCGCTCGAGAAAAAAAGTGATTCAAGAAAACATAAAGAAACAAAATTTTAAAAAATTCAGAATCAATTTTTTCTTTTACCAAAATGTTATTCGAATAAATTTAACAAATAGAAAAAGTACAAAAATTTGAGAGTGAAAAAATAGAAGAAATAAAATATGAAATAAAATATAGAATAAAATTGAAAATAATAAAGAAATATAAAGAAAAAAAATGAAAATTATTGAGAAATATGTAAATAGTTTTTCTTTTTTTTAATTTACAGGAAAAAATATGCAAATAGCAAAATATTTACAGCAAAAATTTTTAAATAATTAAATCTTATTCTGTATTTTCTAAATATTTCTGTGAAAAATATTTAAACAGTTTGAAATTTGATGGAAAAATATTTAAATGACTGCGAATTATTAGAAAAAATATTCAAATATTCAAACATTTATCTACAAAAAAATTCTTGAATTAGTCAAAAATTACTGGAAAAAATATGTAAATAGGTAAATATTTGCAGAAAAAATTTTTAAGGAATTAAATATTTATGAAAAAATATTTTCTAAATAGTTAAACAATTTGTGAAAAATATTTAAACATTTATAAA